TAATAACGCCCTGGATTAGAGGCTGATAGCATTCCAGGATATATAGGATATGCGAAGTGTTACGGTGGAACTCTTGTGTAAACCGGGCTTGAGGTGGATCAAAACTTGAAGGATACAAAGGGTTGATCACTTCTTGTGATGGAGGGCCTTGTTGGCTTGTATTTTTTTTATATTTCTTTTCTCTTGTTCAGTTTATTAAGAACATCTAGAATCTTGCTCAACTCATTCTCAATCTTTTTCTGTGCTTTTTTTAGTTTTTCAAATCTGTGAGAGTTTTTTTGCTCTATTTGTCTGGCTCTGGCTCTTGTGTTGTATTGATGGATAAGATTCTCACTAGATAGAGCTATCCTTGAACCTTGAATACCATATCTTAGAATTAAAAAATTTATATGACTATCTCATGGTTACTTTGTTAAGTGTAATGAGTGAGAATGCAATGAAAGAAAATGCATGTATACAAAGAACATTTACCTTAAGACGGTGCTTAACTAAAAGATTTCATTTATTCCAAAGAACTTTTATTTACATTGAGTTTATCATCTTAGAGTTATAATCATAAAATCGCTTGATCTGCTCATACTGGGCATTGGCTTCTTCGATGAAGTTTAATAGATGCTGCCCATGCTTTCCTACTGGGCTACCACTTGTTTTAATGCTTCTGCCTCTTCTACTATCTCTTTTGTCTTGCATATCACTTTACAAATTTAGGTCATTAGGTGCTCAATGTATTTTTGTCTTCCTAAGTTCTTTTTTTTACAACATCAGACTTGATATTATAACTCTCTATGCTCTCTAACCAATGCAGCAATATGATCTTCTTGTTCATTTAACTTTTATTTCAACCTGTTTAGGTAACTATTCAACATGTTATTCTCTATCTGTTCTTGGGTACTTTTTTCTTTCAATTCAACATATTCTTATCTCAATATTGCAGTTTCTTAAGTCAGCTTAACAATTGTTATCTCTTTGGCCATTTTTTCACACATAACCTCTTATGTTCTTGGTGTAGCTCTGCTAAGTCTTCAACAGCTGTATCACGTTCTCTAGCAATCTTGCAACCTCTGGCTTCATGTCTTTTAGCTTTATCTTTTCACTGATCTTTTTTTTCTCGAAGCTTCTGGATTTCTTGTTTTAACCTATCCTTTTTAGACTCAAATTCTTTTATTGCTAACTTTAATTCTGATGGTGTCTCTTCAAGCTTTTCTCTTGTTGGTGGTTGAAAGCTTTCATAAGTAAATACCATTTTCTGTCTTCGTCTTACTCTTCAAAGTAAATACCCTAGAGTGGTTTATCAGTGAATGGTCCATGACTTACTTTTCGAGGATTTTTCTATGCTTTAATCATCTCATTCATCATCTGAAATGCTTTTAGCTCACTGTAAGAGAAATCTAACTAATGAAGCTCATGCATCATAGGAATGAATTGTTCCACCTCAAACTTTCTTCTCACTAGAAGTGGTGCATAACTTGTTACTCCTCATAAACTCAAAAGTGGGATTACAGTATTATCCTTACACTGATATAACATAGGTTCACGATTCATCCATGGGACCAACCATCTTACTTCGGTACTGGTTAATTTTTATAGGAAAGCTATCCACTTCTGTTTAGACTTTTGTTTTGACCACTCACTTTCATAAAATTCCTTAATCGACGCTCGATTACAGACATAAAGCTTCAAGAAAGCACTTTTTTTCCATTCGAAGTGGCTTTTCATCCATAAATATAACAACTGTATGCAGCCTATAAAATGCCCTTCATTCTAACGACAGTAACTCAAAGATTTGATAGTCTCTGCTAATATTACCATTGAAGGGTTACAACAATTGATCACACTTTTGAAGAAGTCAACCACTGCTATCTCATATAATCCAAATCCTTTGAAAATATCACCATTTCGTATATAGCTAAAGTAAATACATCTAATCTATGTTCTTCATTGGCATGTTGCACTAGAAACTCATGAAAAAACTTCAAGGTAGGCAAACCTGTTCTTGTTTTTTCTTTATATGAAAATCCACAACTTCTTTGTCTATCATCATGAGTCGAGCCAAACCTTTACGAAATTTTGACTTGTGTTTTTTGACATATATCTTATCAAGAGCCTTGAGGTGCAAACCTAACAAAGTCAAATATTCTTCAATGGTTGGTGTCATATTAGCTTTATTGAAGATGAAACACTTATATGCAAGATCTCAAAATTAGGCAGTAACTCTGATTAGTTGATCGTCGACAGCTACTGCGAGAAGGTGTGCTATATGCCCATGTCTCTGACAAAACTGCTCTTGTCTTGACGGACTCATCTTCTTCTATATATCAATAAAATCTCTTAGATTATTTTGTTTGAGGAGGATAGATGCTTCTTGAGATAAAATAAAATCGTATCCGATTGGTAAACAATCTCTCATCTTCAGTTGAATATTTTTTGACTGGACACTTACTTCGTTGGGTGACTTGCAATGAGCTAATATAGATGAAGAACAAACTAGTCATTCTGTGAGTCCATGAAAAATTTTTGTTGAAGATCGTCTTTCAAGCAAATGTTCTTTATGCAACTTTATGATATGAATATGAACCAATGCAAAAAAATGAGAGAAAAGGTTAGTATGCCCAAAAAAAGAATAAATAAACAACTAAATAAATTAAAATATCACACAAAATAAAAAGAATGAACCCTATGCTTTTGGTCAATTCTAAAAGGGAAGGATGATGGCTCTATCTATAGGTTAGGCACTCTTAAGGTTCACTATATGTGGTTTGAGGTTAAAGTCTAAAGGTTCCCAAATTGTTCCTTACATCATTGTTCATCACAGACTAGTAAGGCACCCTAATCTTCACCCATTACAGGCTACAAGCGAAAAAGATTCAATTTGAGTGAGAGTATTTCGCTAGTCACTGCGGAGGCATTAAACCTCACGAAAGTAATAAGTACTTTACTCCCTCCTAGAAGGACGGAGCTCGGGTATAGAGCTCATGTTATGTATATGCATATAGATGACATAATTAATAAAGTAAATAAACATGAATGAATAAAAAATCTATACAAAAGGTTCAATTTTATTATGTTTTTGGATAACACAAATTTATTTGCTGGCCTGACTCTCGATTTACTCCTAGTGGAGTCATCAAACTGTCATAATGTCTAGATCTAGGGATCCATCGCTAGACATTGACTTGGAGTTGTCACCAATTTTTTTTATCTAGGTGCGATTGGTCACCTAAGGAATCTATCATTTTAAGGAACACCTAAGCCTAAGGGTCCCTAAAAGAATAAGTTCAGGAGTATGATTACGTGTAAGGAAGGTTGTAGCACCCTTACAACGCCCATCGAAAGATGGTACCGACTTAAGTTTGTGTTATGCAATAAGCCTTAAAAATTTATCAAGTAATTAATTATTAAAAATTATTCTCAATTGACTCTAATACTTTTAGTAAAAAATTGAGAAAATTTTCTCACCTCAAGAGTATGCAGGAGACTACTGTTTCACTTGCAGAAACTCTATCGTTGGATTATTTAACATTAAAGAAAATTCAAAAAGAAAAAAAAATAAAATAAAAAAAAAGAATAATGATTCAGCTTTAGATATAAATCTTTTTCTCTTCAGAAACTCATTGCTTTTGTATAAGAAAAATTGATACTTTTAATTTTTTCCCAAAATATTTTTCTGAAACTTTAATTTTGAGAAAAATTGATACTTTCAACTTTTCCTTAAAAATATTTTTTAGAAAACTTATTTTCAAGAAAAATTGATACTTTCAACTTTTTCTCAAAAATATTTTTCTTGGAATTTATTTAAAGAAAATAAAAAATAAAAAAAAATAAAATAAGAAATACTAAATAATTTTAGTCTAATCAATAAATAATAATAATAAAAATAATAAAAATATAAAATATAAAAATATAAAAAAAAAAGAAAAAAAATCTTTTGAACGACTCGGCTCGTCTGGGAAACGACTCAACTCGGTTGGAAAACAGCTCGGCTCAAGACAGAAAATGGTAGCTCGAAGACGTGGCTCGGGGACTTCGGCTTGGCTCGACTTGGCTCCAAGGTTCGGCTAGCACTCAGGTCAACACGGGTCAAACGTGAGTTGGCGCTCGAGTCGGGTCATCTGATTTCAAAATACGCGGATCCTGAGATTTTCTTAAGCTCAAAACGACGTTGTTTTGGGGAGCTATAAAGGCTAATTTCAGCCTTTCCCAACAGAATCCTCTTCCTTCCTCTCTCTTTCTACTTCTACTTTTCTCTCCCTCTCTCTCTACCCCCTCAAGAACACTGATTGATATTTAACCAGATTTTAAAAATTCTCGTCGGAATATGGGTTTTTCACCAGAAAGTCACTGAAAAGTTGGTCGATTTTCTGGGAAGTTATGTCAAAAACTGGGTAACTTGTCAGAAAGTTCAAAGTTGGCCGGAATCTCGTCGGAAAACTTGAATATCACCGAAAAATTTCGTCGGATTCTGAAAAATTTTCAAAAATTTTTCAGAAAAAAACTTCAAAAATTCTAAAAAAAATTCCCACAAATTTCTAAAGCTGTTCTAACACATCAGAAACCTTTTTTAGCTTCTGTTTCCTCTCTCTCTGTGTTTTTGTGTCTTCTATTCTTTGTGATTTCCGGATCTATTTATAAAAATTGATCAGAAGAGTTTCTGATCAATCCCAACTCCATATTGGATTGGAATTCAACATTTGAATCCAATCTAGACTCTGATTGAGTCCTAAATTCATGGTAGAATTCTAATTTTTTATCATAATTCCAACTGAAAATCAATCAAGAAAAAGATAAAAATAATAAAATCTATATATTAATAGATATATGGATAGATAAATAATAAAAATATATATATTAATAGATAAATAATAAAATCTGTTAATAGATAAATAATAGAATATATATATTAATAAATAGTAATAGTAATAATAAATAAATAAATAAATAAATAAAAAATTAAAATTAAAATTAAAAAAATGTAAATGAGCTTATCCATTTGGGAGCCTAGATCAAATTGGATATCTAAATATTACATTCTACTGCCAATGCTGAAGGAGAATGACTACTGTTTCAGTCGAAAACATACCAACACATGAATACGATGATTCATTTGGCTACTTCATTCTAGTCTTCTTAGATTACTAAGACTTCAACAGTATAGTGTAGAAGGGAAAAAGAAAAGAAACAATTTATTAAGTTGTTGAATTCTACTTTCTCTGTAATTTCCTAGGTCTCTGGCCACACTCTAGTTAACTTATGGGGTATATCTACCATTACGGATGAATCGGTGGTAGTATTTTTGGACTTTGCAAGTGTTTGTTGCATTACCAGCACCGAGACTTGACAGCCGGAGTCCGATGAGGCTAACATGTCCCCCACAAATCCTAGCTCGGGAAACTCATTCCACTCGGTAAGCCCGGCGAACAATGGCGAATTGCTGTCATGGCGTCTTCCCACCAAAATGAGATCATAACAATCCTCCATTGATCGAATTATCCCTACTGTTTCCACGCTATCACACACAAATTCCTCCTTGTAGACGAAGTGTTGTTTCCCCGCATGCGCAATCCTGAAGTCGTTGATAATGCGCTCATCTTCTAGTTCCTGATGATTGGTTCTGCCTTCTCTTCTTTTCTTGTTAGAATCAACCAAACGGGTCACCGTGATGCTTATGTTGGGGTGTTCTGCCATGCGCATGGCATATGCTAATGCTTCTCGATCGTCAGGGCCTTCCACAAATATCAGTCCAACGTTGTATAAGCTTTTACTTGACATGGAATTTGTGCTAGTCGTTGTGCCACGGTCCACCAAGATCCCGACAGAACAGGGGGCGTTTTGGAGGATTTGTTGATTGACTGATCTGGTAGCCCGTGGCAATACTTCAATTTCAGTGCTTGTATTCCATTGCTTGTGGAATGGGATAACAATCAACGAAACTCTCTTTTCCAATGCAAGACTGCAAATTTCATCATGCATTGAGACAAATGGCGAAATGGCTGTATATAAGTTGACAACAACAGTACCCTCATTAATCTCCTCGTACAATCTGAATGCGTTTATCATGTGCTTGGAACCCTGCATTTGAACTGAATTCTTTCTGCCTGGCCGATGAGTTATGAGAAGCGGAGCTGATCGACCAATGAGTTCAAGGAGGTGAACCACGTAGAAGCATATGGGGCTTTTTGCTGTTGGATTTGATAATTCGAGGAGATTGATGATAGAAGGAGTCTGATATTGGCAGTAAATTCCGGCCAGCATTCGGAGCTCTGTTTCTGGATGTGAGTGTTGAATGGACCTTTTCTTATGGGAAATGTATCTCTTGGATGGCTCGTATAAAAATTTCACCAAGGGGGTGATGATTCCAGCCATAAAAACAATTGATACGGACATGATGGTAAATGATTGGCTGTCAATTAGCTGCCATAAAAGAAAAAGGCATGATGGCTTGGCACACTAATTTGATTGCATTTTGGCCGGAAAGAAATTCATGGAAAAAAAAATAGCGGAACAATTGAACAAATAAAATGATGGAAAAGGAGTATTATTTACCTTAAGGTTCTGTGCATGTTGTAGAATCATGACATCCGTGACCCCCTGGACACTCATGATAAGGCCTAAGGAAATAGCATCAAGAGGAGGCATTTTGCAGTACAGGGAAGGCAAGACAGTTGCCAAAAGTTTTGCGAGTAAGTTACAAAAAGACAGAAACTGGATGATAATCACAGCCTGCCAATGTACATTTAGGATGCTTATGCCAGATCCAGTTAATATAAAATAGCTTGGTAGGAGAACAGAGGATACGAAAGAATCAAGTTTGTTGACCAGTGCTGATCCTAATGGCGGTCCCCCTGGCGCTGCCATGCCCAAAAATATTGGCCCAATGATCATATGTTGCCCAATTACTTCGCTAACGAATGAACACCCTAAAACCATCATAAAGATAGCCGAGATGTAACCCTCTTTTACACTTTTTCCTTCAGTTGTATGCCTTGCCATCATCACCATCACAGGCCGCAAGATGTATACTATGATCATCAACAAGCAGGCAAGAGATAGGAACATCCATATCACAGTTTCCTGTTTTCCTATGCTACCTTGCATAATTGTGTAGAGTATAATTATCCAACACCAAGAAAACATGCCACTAACCAAAGAAGAAGATGTGGCTAATCGACCGAGCTCTGAGTTGAGTAGATTTAGATCAGCTAGAAGACAGACTACGACATGAAAGGAATTTAAAGCAAAAAATGATGCGACGAAATATATGGATTGTTGTATATCTGGATGCATTTTGACAGTATGCTTTAAAATGGCAGCAACGATTGTGTTTAGAGTAATGGGCACCAGAAAAGATAGAACGCCAATGATCACTGCTTTCTTTCCTGTTCTTTTAACCATGCTTAAATCCGTTTTTACTCCAATTGAAAACAGAAATAGCGTGCACCCAAATAGGGCTAATGTTTGATTGATATATAAACTTCTATAGGTTAAAGCCCCTCTCACGATAGGATTGCTATCTCCCCAAATCATCGGTCCCATTAGAATACCAGTCTGGTTGCATTAAACTTATCAAAACTTTGAAATTAAATGTATTTAAACATTTCTCTCATAACAAGAAATTGAATGGAAAATTCACAGAAAAAAAAAAAAGAATGCTTACCAACATATGTGAGAAAAATGAACTCTGACCACGATGGTTGAAAAGTAACTGGATTATGGAAGTCAATATAGCTGAAACCGAAAGTTGAAGAAAAAGGACAGGAGTTGCAAAGTCGAGTGGATTACCCCCGAAGAAGACACCACTTGCTCTTAACTCGTCTTTTCTGTCGCATATCAATTTACCATTAGATGTTGCATTAGCCATTTTAGCAGCCAGCAGAAAGAAACTTGCAAATAATCAAGCCGGCATGTTATGGTCAATCAACCGGACAAAGAAAAAATGTTAATTGATCGATAGACAGAAAGAAGTTGAAATTTAAGGTTGCGTGGTTGAGAGAGGTGGAGTGGTGAAGGAGTTTGGAAGGTTAGAAAAACTGAATGGGCGTACAGGAGAATCATGCGGGGTTGCAATAACCTATAATGTTTCTCAAGCACCCACGTTTTCTTCGTTTATTACTAGTGGCCACTCATCAAACGAGGGGTTTTGCCCATACCATAGTTTCAATTACTTCTGTTTAATTATGTGGTGATTATTGATTACCGATAAAGATATTATCCGTTGCATGACTAAGCTTGATGCCCATACCAATCAACAACACAACAATTCTTGAATAACAAAATTAGCATTGTCATTTTGGAAGCCAGCATAAATCAAACTGCAAATTGTAAAGTGACCCAATATGAAGTTTGAAAAGAAAGCAAAGATTGGTCTGAAGTCTGACTAGAGTTCAATGATTGATCCAAATCCAATATGTACAAACTACCTCATTATTCAACACTAAATTCTTCCATAATTTAAAACACTGATAGTTTTTGCAAAATTATTTTTTTGCTCTTACTCTTCCACTTGCCACGAGCCTTTCAGAAAAAGATTTGTTCGTGTCTACTGAGATAATAGCTACTGCGAAGATCTAGAGCAGAAGAAGAAGGTAGACATGTCTAATCTGAAACAGACATTGTTATTTCTACTTTTTTCAGTAAATTCTTCATCTGGTGACTTAAACCATACAATGCCAATACAATAATACAACACAAAAGCTAGAGAAAAGAAAAATACTTGGAGATCTCTAGAGATTGCTCTATATTTGATAATAACCTAAATGAGTAATTATCAGTATGGAAAAATATTACAAAAGCGTGAAATTCTTAGAACTATTATTTTTCTCAATTGCAAAGACTGCTCTCAATAGCCTGGTCTGTTGTTGCACCCTTAAAATCTGGGCAAGCAGATCCTCCCCTGACAATATTTCATGCTCACTGCATTTCTTGAGTCATAAGCATGGTCTATTGATATAATCACAGCAAGCAAACTTGTTGCATCCGTTATTGCCTCCTCTGAACAAGAAACTCGCTTGTTTTGCAGGGTTTTCACCATAAACTCTCTCGGGAGGTCATTATGATGATCAAGCATTTTATGTCATGTGTCGAGACTTAAGCTTCAGACTCGTGCAGCTCTAGACCCAAACATGCACTCATTTGGCATTTCAGATCAGCCTATTTGTCACAGTTCACATCTTTGTGAAATATAGTCCGCTTTGTCCCCCTGATCTCACTGTTTTGTCCTACAAAAAGCACTTCATAATGAAAAAGTGGTGTGAACCCTTTTATATTCCAGTGACCCTCCTTTTATGTCCAATGTAGGATTGGAGTACCCTATCTACTCTGCTTGGAGGGCTTGGCGTGACATTCTCACCCACTTAACCTTATGACGCCCTCGTCACGGAGGCTAGCCACCCTGCCTACCTCTCTCGAGACGTTTGGCATGGGTTGAATGGTTTAGGACTAGCTTTGATACCACTTGTCCAATTGAATGCAATTCAATTTTGCATTCAATTGGATTGTTTCCTTATTCAATGAAGGAATTTTTAAGTTCAACTAACCTATTTGCAAAATATCAAGTGGATAAATAAATAACAATTTTGAGAGAGTCTTTCATTTGTCTATCATTATAGGCAATACCATCCATATTATCTATGGAATTCGAACCTGAACTCTATTTACGATTCCTTATTTTTATCTCATTGGCCGATTTTATTTACATCCAACCTATCCCCATTTTTTCCATCTATATTCCTTTTTTTTTCATTTCATAAACGAATTACGCATATTTTCACATCTATGATTTACGTATACAATATATATTACTATCAAGAGTGAATTTCTTATTTCTTATTATTGAATTTATAGGCGCTTGACGTGGGTCGAACGGTTTAGGGCTAGCTCTGATACCACTTATCACGTGTCAAAATTTAAGCTCCAAGACTCGGGTATGGCATCTCAGATCAACCTACTTACCATGATTCACTACCTCTCTCGAGGCGTTTGGCGTGAGTTGAACGGTTTAGGCCTTTTTTTTCATTTCATAAATGAATTACTCATATTTTCACATCTAGGATTTACATATACAACATATATTATTGTTAAGAGTGAATTTCTTATTTTTTATTCTTTTTTATTTCTTATTATTGAATTTATAGGCGCTTGGTGTGGGTCGAACGGTTTAGGGCTAGCTCTGATTTACATATACAACATATATTACTGTCAAGAGTAAATTTCTTATTTCTTATTATTGAATTTATAGGCGCTTGACGTGGGTCGAACGGTTTAGGGCTAGCTCTGATACCACTTGTCACGTGTCGAGATTTAAGCTCCAGGACCCGAGTATACACTCATCCGACGTCTCAGATCAGCATACTTGCCACGATTCACTACCTCTCTCGAGGCGCTTGGCATGGGTTGAACGGTTTAAGGCTGGCCTGATACCACTTACAAGAATGAATTTCTTATTTCTTATTCTTTCTTATTTCTTGTTATTGAATTTATAGGCGCTTGGCATGGGTTGAACAGTTTAGGACTAGCTTTGATACCACTTGTCACGTGTCGAGATTTAAACTCTAGGACCCGGGTATGGTATCCCAGATCAGCCTACTTGCCACGATTCACTACCTTTCTCAAGGCGCTTGGCGTGAGTTGAACGATTTAGGCCTTTGTTTTCATTTTATAAACGAATTACGCATATTTTCACATATAGGATTTACATATACAACATATATTACTGTCAAGAGTGAATTTCTTATTTCTTATTCTTTCTTATTTCTTATTATTGAATTTATAGGCGTTTGGCGTGAGTCGAACAGTTTAAGGCTAGCTTTGATTTACAAATACAACATATATTACTGTCAAGAGTGAATTTTTTATTTCTTATTATTGAATTTATAGGCACTTGACATGTGTTGAACGGTTTAGGGCTAGCTCTGATACCACTTGTCACGTGTCGAGATTTAAGCTCCAAGACCCGGGTATGCACTCATCCGACGTTCCAGATCAGCCTACTTGTCACGATTCACTACCTCTCTCGAGGCGCTTGACATGGGTTGAACGGTTTAGAGTAGGCTCTGATACCACTTGTAAGAGTGAATTTCTTATTTCTTATTCTTTCTTATTTTTTATTATTGAATTTATAGGCGCTTGACGTGGATCGAACGATTTAAGGCTAGCTCTGATTTACATATACAACATACATTACTGTCAAGAGTAAATTTCTTATTTCTTATTCTTTCTTATTTTTTATTATTGAATTTATAGGCGCTTGACGTAAGTTGAACGATTTAGGGCTAGCTCTGATACCACTTGTCACGTGTCGAGATTTAAGTTCCAAGACCCGAGTATACACTTATCCGACGTCTTAGATCAGCCTACTTGTCACGATTCACTACCTCTCTCGAGACGCTTGACATGGGTTGAACGATTTAGGCCTGATACCACTTGCAAGAATGAATTTCTTATTTCTTATTCTTTCTTATTTCTTATTATTAAATTTATAGGCGCTTGACGTAGGTCGAACGGTTTAAGGTTAGCTTTGATACCACTCATTACATGTCGCGATTTAAGCTCCAAGACCTAGGTATGCATTCATCCGACATTCCAACTCTGATACCACTTGTCACGTGTCGAGATTTAAGCTCTAAGACCTGGGTATGCACTCATCCGACGTCCCAGATCAGCTTACTTGCCACGATTCACTACCTCTCTCGAGGTGCTTGGCGTGAGTTGAATGGTTTAGCGCTGGCTCTGATATCATTCTCAGGTTAGCTCTAATACCACTTATCACGTGTCGAGATTTAAGCTCTAGAACCCGGGTAGGCGTCTCAGATCAGCCTACTTGTCAGTCGAACGATTTAGGGCTAGCTTTGATACCACTTGTTACGTGTAGAAATTTAAGCTTCAAGACCTGGGTATGCACTCATCCAGCGTCTCAAATCAGCTTACTTACCAAGATTCACTACTTTTCTCGAGACGCTTGACGTGGATTGAATGGTTTAGGACTGGCTTTGATACCATTTATCACGTGCTGAGATTTAAGCTCCAGGACCCTTGGCCTACTTCCCTCGAGACACTTGGCTTAGATCGAACGGTTTATGACTAACTCTGATATCATTTGTCACATACCGAGATTTAAGCTCTAAGATCCAGGCATATAAAAAATTATATATAATTTAAATGTAAAATATACTAAAAATATACTAAAAATATACTAAAAATATGCTAAAAAATACTAAAAATAAAAAATATAGTAATATTATACTTAGTATACTAATATTATACTAATATATATATATATATAATATTAAATAAAATAGACTAATAAAATAAAGATAACATATAATAGAATAAAAATAAAATAAAAATATATAATATAGAGATAAATAATAAATATATAAAGATAAATAATAAAAATTATAAAAATTATAAAAATATTTATTTTTATTTTTATAATTTTTATAATTATAATTAAATTATAATGATATTATTAAAATTTAATATTATTAAATATAATGTTATTAATATTAATATGATTAAATTAAAATATCATTTTTAATATGATTAAAATATAATCAAATAGAATTATATTATTATATTTTTAATTATTATATTCTATCAATATTAGATTAGCATGGGTCAAACGGTTTAGAGTTGATTCTTATATCACTTATCACATATTGAGATTTAAGCTCTAGGATCTGGGTGAACTCACGATTTTATCCTATAAAAAATATCTCACAAAAAAAAAATGATATGAATCTTTTTATATCTCAATAATTTTTTTTTATGTTCGATGTAAAATTAAAATACCTTATTTATTTTTTTTAGAGCGTTTGACATGACACTTACTCCTTTACAACGCACAATCTCTTTGACGGCGAAGGGAAACGTAAAATACACATCACCACATTAGAATGGTCCGATATACACTTACTTATGGCATATGCTAGTGCCTCTTCATCATCTGCTCCCACAAGGAATGACCCAGCCACCCTAAAAAATGAAGGGTTCTTCTCGTCAATAAGGATATTTACTCTGATTCAACATCCAGTGTTACATTCAAACTGATCATAATTGCCATATTGGTTGCTGACACGGCATATATCTTCATCCATTTGTTCGACACGATTACTAAAACCACTTGAACTCAACCAATCAAATTTTAAAACTACAGATTACATTGTTGCAGTTGGCATTAGTATCTGCTTCAAAATCTTATCCATTTTAAACATGATGCCCAAATTCCATGTAAACTACCCCTTGTTCGTGTTCTTTCTTTCTAATAGGGAGGGTGAAGGGGCTAAGAAATGAAATCTTATTTGTACTTTATCTCCGTATGCTCATAGGAAACAAGCCCACTTTTGACTACTTGCAATCAAATGCTCCTCACCTGGTTTGCAATCATTTTCTTGCCTGGTCTCCGGGTAAGCTTGAACTCATATGGACATTGAATTTTTTATACCATCCGTCAAAATACTGCGATATTTTAGCAAGCTTCAGTGGATTATGCAGAGCTCACTTTTGATTTGCTGTAATCATCCACATTAATACAGTACCTCAAAACAAAGTTGGTATAAATTCCAACCAGGGCCACCTGCAATCTTGTAAATGTCTGCTGCATTACAAGTATGAAAAAAGTATAGGAGAAGATATACAAAAGAAGTGAACAACAATACTTGCATTTGCATTTAAATCAATTTGATTGAGCCAGGAGATTATAAAGACCTCATCAAAAGAAAGTATTGAATCAAAAAGAACTAAAAGAAAATCTGATTTTAAAGGGTTTTTTTTTTTTCTGCAAACAAAAAAAATTATGACCAAGGGGAAATTTTTGAATGAATCAATCTGTATACTAACAACACAAATTCTCTGAAGATACATTTAGGATGAAGCAGAAAAGGGAAAAAAAGAAAATCAGTGGATCGCTCATTCAGATAAGAGATGGAATGGTATAAGCAACATCTTTAAAAAGAAAAAGCAATTTACACAATCAATGATTATCGATCACCAGTCACCACCACTGGTGCACAAGAACCCCTCTAGCTCTTAGAGAATTAAACAAGTCCAAGCATTGCGCGTATGTATTGTGATACTTCGGATTCCTCTGGCCTGGACAACATCTCTGCCATCTATTGTAATGACACTCCAAAAAGACCTCATCAATCAAACAGATTGCGCCTGTCTCAATCAACCTTGGCATCAAATGAAACTCAGTGCCCTCTACATCCATTTTCATCACCACAAAATCTCTCTCAGACACCACACTTTTCAACCACTCTGCTAAATCAAACCCCTGAATCTTGTCCACATCCTCCACGTAAGTAACCGATGATTGAACCGGGTGTTTCCTCCCCATTCCTCTGGCTTTCTGCATTGCATCTTTCTTTCTTGGATCCCTGGTTATCTCAAAAAACAATGTCTCATTCCTAATCCACGCCGCATAAGGCAATAGCTTAACATTTTTCTTCATCTTGTACTCTTCATGAAATGCCTTGTCGGCCTCAATAGCGTAAATTTCAAAGTTTTTATTTTGTTTCGGATATTGTTTCTTGAACCAGCTCCCAATACTTGATCCATAGCTTCTTGCTCCGACATCAACGTAAACAAACTTCCGTTTAAAACTAATGTCCACCATTGAAGTCAAGTATTTGATGTTTCTGATGTTTCTTTTCAATGTGATCCATGGTTTCAACGGTTCTTGTTTGATCAAAGGCTCCGCATTTCGGATTATTTCCCGTTTTAACTCCAGAGCGGAGCATTTATCACCTGAATTGCCATTGAGAGGTGAATTTTGCCTCTCTTTCTTCATCACGATCTCTTGGATTTTCGTGGAGGAATCAGGGCCGTAGCTTTCAAGAGACTCGATCAATCTCAAGCAATTGAAAAGATCAAGAAATGATTGCAAACTATAGGCGTCTTTAGCCGTCACGTGAACCACCAAGAACCCGCCCGGTTTCAGCGTCCGACAAATCTCCCAACCGAACTCCACAGGAAAACCCGACCTTTCTAAACCGCTTGAAAACTCGAAGTCGAAGGAGTTCCCTTTGAAGGGCTGATTCCACGCTTGGCCACGTAAAATCAAAGGCGGTGATGCTTTCTTGGAAATCCCGATGGATTCTGAAACGCCGATTCTTTTCAATGCGTGAACTTCTTCTCCCGTCACCGTCTCAATGCAGAGAGCTTTTGAATTGGGAGAAAGATATCCCTCGGCGATCAAATCTTGGAAAACGGAGGAGTAAAAATCGATATATTTTTCAGATTTGACGGCGACGGAAGACACGTAGCGTACGTTGAAGAGGCAGAAGTCGTCGCTGGCTACGCACAATTGGCCCCTGATGGCGACTAAGAAAGCGAAACGGACGGCAATGATGAGGACACCGAAGGAAAGACAGCGTACGATGATGTTCTTTAGGAGGTTAGGTTTCAGTGTTAAGGGGTCCATTGATGGTTACGGTGCGAAAGAAGAGATGAAAGAATCTGAAAGGAACGGTTTGGCGCCACTTAGTAGGTAAGAAGTAGAAATAAAGGAGAGGATTGGAGGGTAAAGTGGGAATCTGACGTGTCTTTTCTCTGGGGAACGTTTTTGGTATGAGGTTGTCCAGCTGGCTATGGGTGGATGATGATGATGATGTGTCACACGCTCATCTTTCTTAGTTGATTCCACATTTTTCCTCTTTTCCAAAAATTACGCTGGAATAGGAAAAGAGGGAGAAATTTTTGTTTTATTTCTTTCCAAGCTGCATGTAGAAATGGGAAAATATATACTTTATTGTTTTCATACTGTTTGATTAAATAATTACTTGAATTGGGTCAAACCTGGCCCTTTCTTCCCATCATTGTTATAAGGTGTTCAAACCCATGGGCATGGACACCTTTTCATTTTTTTTAATATTTTTAATTTTTTGTACAATGGAAATTATTATGAAAATAAAAAAAATTACAATTACTAAAATTTAACTTTCAAAAACTTATTAAATATTATTATATAAATTAATTAAATTAAATCTCAAATTTTATTTCATACATATTTTCATTAATCTAATACTCTAAACCATGATTTTTATATTATTATTATTATTTGATTAGATATAGTATTACTATTAACATAGTTTAGCATTAATCCGTTCTCTCCACAAGTTGTGAAACTTCTCTATTCTCATAATTTCTTTCATGGTATGATTCCTTAATTCATATGTGATTGATTATATAAAAAACAATTGTGGATAAGAAAAGTATTTCTATTGTAATCATTCAAACTTAAAACTTTGTTATTTTGAAAAGGAATCCTATAATTTTATTCAATTTTCAACTATCCAGTGCTAATAAATTATTCAAGATAAATTTGCATACATTTTATTTTATTTAAGTGATTGGTTAATTGAATTGAAGAACTCTAATATTAAAAAAATACTACTATAACAATGATAGGATATTGTTGCTCGCATTCTTGATTGGGACACCCTTTTTTTTTTTTTTTTAACTCTAACGTATGGCGACAGTTTGTAGGCTGTAGTCCATTGCCAATTAGCTCTTGCCCATTGCTTTCATATACATAAGCTTAACCTTAGAAGGTTGGGACTGGTTGGGTCTCACCCTGCATTAAACTATTTTCACAATTAAAGGAAACAAAGTAAAACAAAACCAACAGGCACGCAATTAATCAACAAAGCTTAAAAAATGGATTAAGGAACAGGAAACCGAATACAGATAGACATTGTTGTTAGGTCGGTTATGGCCTGCGGAGGGCCATTAGCCATCACTTTTTCTTTTAATGCACCGTGTGAACCACGGAAATGTCCCACCTCCTCTTTGGCTGTTTGTATAGATAGAAAATACAAAAAGTTTTATAAGGGCTTTTGATTTACTAATTTGCCCTTCTCAAATGTCTTGATTCTTTTTATCTGATAATGTCGACAAAGGATGATACAGTAATTTTGAATGTCCCGTAAGGGGAGCATCCGCGAAGGACCCATCTGTACCAAAATTCTAACGCAAGTTGACCTTGACCAACTTGTTCACTAAGAAATCTCCCCAGCTCCACATTTTTGACTAGTTCAAACCTCAATTAAAAATTTTGATTATGTAACCAATGACGATTGCACTGCTATTTAACTATGTTTCGCCGACGTAGCAAATTAACAGTATCACGTACGGACGAAATTCCGGGGAAAGCTATCGAACCGATTCGAATATATTCAAATTGAATTAATTTTGTCGGTGGTCGAAAGTTATAATAAAATATTTAATACGATATTTAATAATTTAAAATTTAAAATTTATTAATATAAAATACTTAACTTTGAGTTTGTCAACTAAAGCTCATGAATCACTGGCATGCCTTTTAAAAAAAATAAAAAGAAATGATTTGAGGCTCTCCTGTTCTGGACTACCAGGCAAGCAGAGCGGACTCAAAACATCAAAAAAATAGTATGGTAACTTTTACTGGCTCCTATAGCAATTCCAACTGAATATACAAAACCAATACTGTGGAATATACAACAAACAGAATGCAATTAATTAAATGAACCTAAGCTCCTTATTCTTGTGGTTTTTAATCCCCTCTATGCTCTCAAAACCTTCAATTTCCGTGCAAATTTCAACAAAGTAGTGACTCAATGAACGCTTCATCTCTTGGTTCCTCCTTGGTTCTGGAAAACATATTGTTTACATGTTGTGGCTGATTCATGAAAGACCCCATGGAGTTCCCATACCCAGAGAATCCAAAGTTTCCAGTGCCTTGCAACATCTCCAGCGTGAAGGGTGATTGCCCCTCGGAGGCTGTCGATGAACTCGAACTGCGAAGAGGGTTGGCCATGGAATTGTAGTGATTGTTAACAGCTGATGGCCTTATTGCCATGGCCACATTGTTGTTACCATTATTGTTGTTGTTGTCAGGTAACGTTCTATGGACAGAATGGCTGCCGCTGCCGCGAGCAGCCGGAACATCATGATTGTGCTTCCCTTCATAGGTTGTGATCACTGCCCTATGATCATGTGATGCTCGCTCAACATGCTTTCTCACTGGACATCCTGGATGTGTGCACTTGTAGTAGCTCCTGTAAGCGTCAGCAGTTAGAACACAAGGCAAACACAAGAAACATGAGTGCTAAATTGAAGCATTCCCCACTAAAGAAAATTTAAAGCTACTAGTTATCTTTCTTGAAAGGAGTCTAATGTATCCAAAAGACAGACAGAGAGACAGAACCCACTTTTTAAGGCATTAAAAAACTAAGACATCCAATGAAAGATGCGTTTAAGAGTAAGGGATGATCGAAAGTTATCAAACTTGATTAAAAGAAACGGTATATAAAATCAAAGTGCTAATATAATACCACTTCTAGAACATCGAAAAGAGCACACATTCAAAAGTTTAAAAGGCATAAACGGTTTAATGATCAAATTTACCTTGGATTTGGATTTCCCTTGACCACTTTTTGCCCATATTTTCTCCATCTGTATCCATCATCCAAAATATCAATGTCACTGGTTGTTTGAACTACAACTCTAGGTTCCCTCACAGTTCTACTGCCAGGTGCTGAAATTCCTTCATTTTCACCTTCACTTCTCCTGGAATCAAGTAATATCAATGGTAGTTCAGCAGAAACAGAAAACAACATACTATATCCACGTTAATAAATTTTTAAGTTTGACCATAAAAGATAGTAGCCAAGAATTTACTAAATTAAACGTACCATCTTTTGGCCTCAGGTTCGTCTTCATCAATCTCATCTCCTCCTGATTTACTCTTCTGGGAACCCTGATCAAAATCATCATCCCCGACTGATATGGAGGAATTTTCTGGTGTTGCAACAGAATCCATCTGTCCACTGCCATGAGTTGGAAATGAATGATCCGGAATCTCAGAGCTTGCAACACTTGAAGTCTGAATAGCAATAGAAGATGATGAAGATGATGATCTCCTAGTGGACTGAGGTTTAGGATGGTTATGACTACCCTTGTAAACTATCTCAGTTATCTGTCCATCTAAAGACCTCTCAACCTTCTTCTTTGTTGGGCAGTTGGGATACGTGCACTTGTAATAACTTCTTGGGTTTTCGCTTCCCTTCACTTGTTTCTGTCCATATTTCCTCCAATTGTATCCATCATCTGATCTTTTGCTCTCTCTAATTGACTGAGGTTGCTGATGGTAATTGCTATAATCTGATTGGAAGCCGCTGTTGCTTTGAATATTGGCAATCTCAGGGGAAAAGCTCTGCATCTGGGTGTATTCAGGTTTTACCATGCTCTTCGCTGAGGAAAAATCGTCTTGCTTTGCAGAGTCTTGCAAACTCCAACCTTGTTGTGCCTGAAAATTAATGTCAAAAAGAAAAAAAAACCTTTAAAAGACCGAAGAGAAAATTTTGACTTTAATTAACCGAAAATGATTACATACCGTTTGAATTGTGTTGGTTGACGATAGAAACAAGCTTGACAAAGAGGTGGCAGACCTTGGCTGGGTTTGGAAAGAAAAATCAGAGTAGTTATTGTCTTCCTGTTTGACGTTTTGCTGGTTGTTTCCAGAATTGGATTTCCAATCGAAAGCCTGAGCTGGAAATGTTCCAGTGGTCGGAGATGGCAGAACCTGTACGTAAAACGAAAAGATTAGCAACACCCATCAATAAAAAAAGCCAAAAAAAAAAAAGAATTTACTCAAAATACCACAAAACAAAATTCAATCAGACAAGCAAGAGAAACAAATAAAAATATCCAATATTTCAGCAACAAAAACAAATACTACAAGGGTAAAGCTTTGGGATAATTCTTATGCTCTGTTTGGTTTCCTAGAAGCCAGTAAAAATCTAAATAAAGTATAAATCAGTAATCTTTTTTATTTTATTTTATTTCAGAGATAACTAAAAAGCTCTAGTCAACAAAGTTTTGGTAAAAACTTAAAAAGCATAAAAGAAAAAAAAAGGAAGTTGCTTTTTTTTTTTTTTTTTTCTATTTCTATAATCTAAAAGAGGCATACAACAAAACAATTGAACGCAGAATAAGAGAAGAAAAGCAGAGGATGTAAAGATACATACGTTAGAAGCGTTCAACAAAACAGGAGAGTCCAAGAGTTCAGCTGGGCTGAGCCCTGGAGGGATAGCAAAGTAAGAAGAAGGAGATACAGGAGGAGGAGAGATAGGGAGTGAAGGAGGAGGAAGCGACTTAAACTTAGGCACACCCGAGCCAGTTCTCTCTGCAATCCGATCAGACAACGACAACCCACCTCCACGCTTGGTATCAAGGCCACCGTTGAAGGTGGAGGAAGGGTTTTCATCGTCGGTGACACCGGATGCAAGAAGATCAGAGAAAGAGGTTGTCATGAAAGGATGCGAAGAGAAACTAAAAGCGTTTTGCACGTAGGAATTGTCAAGATTGCTACAAGAGGAGGCGGCCATCAAAAAAAGAGAAAAAAAGAGAGATGAGCGGAAACAAAGTTATGGGAAAACGGAGGCAGCCACTAATATATGATGAGGGATGAAAGAAACGAATGAACGAAGAGAAGATGGTCACGTATTACACAATTTTTTTTGTGTTTAGGGAGTTTCTGGGAAGTTTATGGGAAGTTTGACCGTTGAAAATATACAGTGGAATTTGCGTTGGGAGGGTGTGTTTTCTCATTATTTTTTTAGTCAAAGCTCGTGGGTTTGACTGGGTGGCGGCTGACACTGAGATCGTGAAATCTATCCAACGCAGTGTGCGATGAAATGATCCTCTTTTTTTTCCATTCTAGCTCAGCGTAGCCCCCTTTTTTTCCTGAGTTGGTAACTTATATCTTATCTAATAAAAGAGTTTCATCTTAAAATTTCTTAATCCTGCAAATTTTTGTTCTCCTCTTTTAATTGTGCAATGCAACTCTTCTTTCACTTCAAGTCAATTTTATAATTGCAGATGTGATTTTATGCAATTATTGGCATATGCTATAACTAAAATACTAAATTATGAGCAGAATAACAAGAATTAATACTTTAAGATTAATTTAGTATTGGTTTTAAGATTGAAAATTTTTGAATTAAAAAAATAAGTTTAAAAAATATATGAAAAATTTTAAAATTTTGGTATTACTATAAAAAAGTAAAATATTTTTTAAATGTACATAAAATAATAAAATATTAAAAATAGAAAAAATATATAATGATTTTTTTCAATTTTCAAACACACCTTTTTACTATAAAAATATTTTGAGAATTTTTTTAATATAAAAATTACACTTTTAGATTAAAAAACCGTATTTTTATATTATTTAATATTAAAATTGAATAAAAATAATTTTTGAACGTAAAAATTACTCCCATCAAATATTGAATTAGGCCATAGCAAACTTCGCAAAAAGTCTTGCAAGTTGCAATCTAGAAGAAGCGTCAATATCAGCCTCAGACTCTAACGTGTAGAGGGGGCAGTGTCTATCGTCGTCTTACCCATCAAGATGCAGAGCTAACAACAAGACCGCTCCGGTCTCCTAACCAATGGGAAGAGTGTTTCGTTAAATTTTGGGTTTATTCTTCATCATTATTTGCAGTATCTTCCAAACGGTTGCGGAAATCGTGGTACATGTCTTGTTTTATGCCAAGTTGTGAAATTTTTGCCTTTAATTGTCGATTTTCTTAGTTTTTCTTTCTCGATAACAGTGACGTGTGTGTTTAAAATTTTGTAAATGACTAACAAGTTTGTTAATGCAACAATGATCATATGAATTTTTTAAATTTTCAATTAAATAAAAAATATATTTTAACAATACTTTTTTATCTTAATTGTGACATAATGCTAAAAAAGTCCACTACTTTCCTAATTATTTTCTAATTATCTCATCAAATATATATTGCATTCTAAATTGGGTGCAATTTGCTTTCGTCGTTCTTTTCTTTTTTTTTTTTTCAATAAAATATGTTTACTAATTACACATTTGTTTTGTCAGCCAAAATTCAGGAAGAATCGAAACGTTTTTTTCAAAAAAAAAAAAAAAAACGTGTCTTTATTGAAGTATTGAAAATTGTGGTTTATATAAATATAAATATATTTATTTATTTATTTTTATATATTTTTGCATAGAATATTAATCTATTAGTGTCAAAATCCAAAGGTTAAAGAATTTATTCACATGTCCAAGATTTTTTTTGTTTGAATTTGATTTAATTTTATATTATTAATATTTAAATTTAATTTAATATTATATAAAATTATATTTGATTTAATTTGATATGATATTATATAAAATTATATTGATTTAAATTAATAAAATATTATTTTTAATATAAAATGTTATTTTTTAATATAAATATAAATATACAAATATGATATTAAATAAATAATTAAAAAATAATATACGTAATAGATTTATCAAAAATTCAACTTTAATTTTTTTTTAATTTAATCCAAAATTTAATTAAAAAATATTAATCCTACAAAATCAAATAAGATCAAAATCCATCAAATTTGGATTACACTGTGATCTCTACGCATGAATCCCAACGATAAACATTGCAAGAACAACAAATTAATCAAGCAACTAAAAGATTTGTCCTACTCGCTTTTCACTTCTTGATTTAGTAGCAAGTAAACTTTAAAGGAAGTATTCGAATCAAACCAAATACCCTCTTATCACCAAATCTTCTAAACCAAAATAAAAATAAAAATGCCGTACTTTTAATTAATTGTAGCGGGCCACTAGCATTAGTGTTTGATTTGAAGTCCTTGGGGTCAAAGTTTAGGAAATATCAGTGGACTTGACTGGCTAAGGGCCAAACCATGGGCATAAGACAGATGTTGGAAGCCACGAACATATTTACTCAAATCAATATCCATTGCTGATCTTTGAAAGGCCTGGAACAATTTCTTACATTTCCTTCTAACTTTTTCTCTTGATGCCTAGGATACTTTGATCATTTATTATGTCTCTTTATTGTAGTACTACCCAAGTCAATTCAATTTAGTAATAAACTCATTGGATAAGGGCTGAATTTAATCAGTTGGGGATTAGCCACTTCTTTCCTTTGATAATAGGCTGAGACAGTCCAACTAATATTTAAAGTCAAGATTTGAACTTGATAATTAAAATTAAAAATTTAACACTTTATTTATAGATTATATGATTGTTTTAATTCAATAATAATAATAATAAATCCTTTTTGGATTATGACAGAGTGAACCTTGAGCACTTGACAGTTAAATAATTCAAGCAGAAACCTTTTCAACATGTAAATAAAAATGCCAATTTCAGGCTAAAACTCAATTCAACATTGAGTTGAAATAATCAGATCAAAGCAGCCTATTTTTCCCTTAGGAAGGAACTTTGACCACTACTCCCACGTAAGCTTCATAGACGCTGATACATATGCAGATCCAGACAAGGTACAACCGGTGCATCCTCTGCACGCTATGGAACTTTACTAATCCTTCCAAAATGCAGCTTCCATGCCTTGGTATCCATTTCCTTCTGTCAACCATACATAAAACAATTTTACTTCCATCAAAGATCATATTAATATTAATGTCTTTTACAACCAATTTTAGGATTCAACTTTCAAGGTAATTTTACAGAGTTCTTCCCTATGTTTTGTGTGTGTGCATAGGGGGGCATTGACCAAAGTAACGATAGTTACTCTAATACTGTGTTTGGTAGGAGGGAAAGAGGAAAGAAAAAAAAAGGATGCAAGGAAAAACTATTTTTTTCACCTTTTCTTTTGTTTGGTAGGAGGAAAATAGGAAAAAGGAAGGAATGTGAGTGGATTTTTCCTTTCCTTCACCTTAAAATTTAATCATTCCAAATGTGAGTGGAAAATACTCATTTAACTTAAATTACCAATTTTATTTATAACTTTAATCCTAATCTCTTTGTTTCCCCCCTATTTTCTGTTTTTCATACCAAACACAATGAAGGAAAAATAACTTTCCATCCTCTCCTTTTTTTTTTTTTTTTTCTTTTCTCATCTTTTCCCCTTCCCTCCATTTTCCTTCCTACCAACCATAGCGTAAAATATGCAGTGCAGCTACATCCTACAGGTCAATTTTGATAATTACAAGTTCTGAAAATCACTTATATTTAAGTACAGCATCAACTTAATCCCTTAGAGTCATAGTAGTTTTTTAATCAATGTAAGTCATTACGGAACATGGCAACATAATTATATTGCTGCAAACAGACTAAAATAATTGATAGGTGTCAAAACTTGATTACTTGGAAAGCAAAGGATAACTTCCCCTAACATGCTGATTATATGCGAAGAATCTAATAGAAACAACAGGAGAACTGGATTGCAATTCCCATGCCTATCTATCTTTTAAATGGATGATAAAATAAAATTAATAATTGTCTGCTTGTGCGGAAGTGATTTAAGCAGGAAAGCTGGTGTTTTCGCTTGACTTGGCCTTTATATTATACAAATTGACAGAGCAAACTATATGTCCTCTTATGTAAGTTCATATTTATGAGCAATCAAGCTTTCATTTAGATGTGAAGAAACACTTACCTGAAATGCTTTGTCCCTCCAGTGAAACACACACCCACGATCTTCCATGTATCTAAGAATGGATTGAGGAAGTAATGGTCTAAAGGATGCATGGAGTTTCACTTTTGTCAACCCTCGACATGCCAACAGTACTGCTGCCAGGCCATTGGGAGTCAAACCGGCCAAGTGCAAGATTGTCATGTTCTGTAGGTGATTGATGCTAGCTAGTGCTACAAGCCCAACATCTGTAACAGAACAATATGACAAGTTTATCTGCAATGATAAGAAGTGAACAACATTATTAGTTCGATATTACACTGTAATGTTCCAATCTACAAGAAATAAAGAAAATGAGAATGTTCAATACCTGTTGCAGATTTTGGGAAAATTGTGCAAGTGGAAGCATTCCGTTATCATTAATATTGAAGCACTTCTTTATGTCAAGCACTGCAAGTTGCTTACATCCCACAGCAATGGCTGACAGACCAATTGACGAGATACCGGGGCATCCACGAATCTCAAGTGCTTTTAACATCGAACATTTTGATAATGATATTAATGAGTTATCTGTAATTTTATCATTATAGGCTATGTTGATCATCTCAAGTGCAGGACAACCATCACCAATGGCTGCAATGCCCGCATCACTTATCTCTATGGACCTGCATAACATAAACACAATAAGATCAACTAAGAAAAGAGAAACTATGTGCCATGCAGAAGGTACAGCAGCATTCCAACATCTGGGGGCTAACATGATAGCACCTTGTTTCTTTTAGACCCTCATGCATGCCAATCATGAACATTTTGTAACATGCACTAGCAGGATCTTTGTTATTATTAAACTTAGCATTATAGGCAGTGCTGAATGCCCATAGAGTTTAAGGTGTTCAATTGAACACCCATTCATGCAGTATTCATTCCTAGCAAGTATGAAAAGTGTAGAAGTTAAAGGGAAATTAGACACCTGTACAAATCAAGCTCCTTAAGCATTGAGCAACAACTTCCAACTTTTGCAAGTCCTTCATCTGATATGTTAGAGCAGATCCCTAACTTTAAAATAGATAGTTTTAAACATCTTGAAATGGACTTCAAACCTGCAAGAGATAACATGAATCATTCAGAGAAAGTTTCATTCATGCATAAAACAGGTTATGGTCAAGGTAAGACCTTCGTCATCAATTTCATTATCTGTGGCATCCAGCTCCTCCAAATACGAGCAACGCTCTCCAATCAAAATAAAGGCTTCCTTTGGAACCAAGCTACAAGACTCCATCCTGAGGGATTTAAGGGAGGTGCATGATTTTGTTATGCTGTCTATAGAGGTATATGTTATCTTCCGACAGCATGTGATGTCTAATTTCCTCAGTTCTTTATGTGATTGAACAAGGAAAGAAAGACCCTCATCTGTCAATCCTATGCATTTACTGAAGCTCAGTTCCTTGATCGAGGCATGCAAACTTGCCATGGCATTGATCCCAGACCAAGTAACCATACACCCATCTAATTTAATTGATTGCAGCTTTGAAGAAGTATTCAGGCATTTTGCTAGATCACCAGTCACCTGCAACACCATTACAAATATATAAGCAATGAGCCACAAGATTAATATAGAGTTAATAGGGAATTACCTTAGGGAGTTTTGGACTTACAGCAGAGCCATATGTAAATATGAGCTGCTGTAGTTGTCCGGTACCATTTATCAAAGATGACAAGCCCCTGTGAGTAACACTTTGACAGTTTGACAAATTAAGCATCTGTAAAAGATCCAATTGGGAGAAACTGTCACTTGAAATTAACTCCTATGAACTTGATTCAACAGCTTGATAAATTGAATATCACTATGAAAATCCAAGTATTAATTGGATTCTTACATTTCAACATGAGAGGTATGCATATGATTGTTGCTGACTGAAACATCAATCATGAAATAAGAATACAATAAGAGAAAAAATCCATATTCTAGCCACAAAAATTTATTTCAAGTGCTGGCAGGACCGCCACATGTTCTTTCCATAGTTTGATATGCTAGTGATAATCTTGGGCAGCTTCAACATTTATAGCCTAACCATTTCTCAAGGAACAAAAGGAAAACAAACCTTTAGTGACTTGCAACTTTGCTTTAGTGTTAAAAGGCCAACATCATCAATGCCATGGCATCCCTCTAGAACCAAATCTTCAAGATGTTGGAGTTGAAGAACAGATTTGAGGCACTTCTCTGTGATCTGTGTTAACAAAACATATAAGTTTTCATGATAACTTCACACTTAATGGGGCGTTCCTTTAGCCAAGAATCAAGAAAAGGGAAAAACAATGCAGTGATAATATGTTAACATCAATACAAAAGTGCATTCCAACAGCCATAACATACATGAGAAATTATCAATTATGTATGCTGAATCATGTGCTACAGCATTGCAGCTCTTCCACTCACAAGCAAACTTATATATAGGCTTACTACTGGAACTTATCTCGATGTACTGCATCAAAAATCAACATTTTATCTTTTCTTTTGCTCCTTCAACAGATAAATACAATTTAGATTGAAACAGAGAACTAAGAAAATTTTAGTAAGATTTCATCCCAGAACACGCGTATGCTTTGTATAGGACGCAACTTCTGCTGGTGTCAACAATCTCAACTATCATTTGCCCAACTAATGATGCATAACTACCCATAAATAACAGATACCATAGCCTAATCCATAGAGGATAACAATTAACGACATAACTTATTAGGACACTTTTGAGGTACAAGTTATTTGACTGGTTTTCGCCAAGCAATCTCAAAATAGAAACTACTACACTCAGCGGCTCATCAGAAATGAAAAATTGACTCAAAAATGGGTAGAATCAAGGAATTAATCCACAACATAGAAACAATAAAAACTGCGAAAACAAATTATTCTCTTTTCAACCAAGCATATCAGTGCTTCCTTTGAAAATTGTATTCTTCACCTCTTAGTTGGCCGAAGAAAAAATAAGGAAAAATAGTGACATCATATTGCAATGAGCTAATTGTGACGAGACTTATATCCTGGAAAGTAAAACAAAGTGAAGCAAAACATGTCCCATTCAATTGAATAAAGTGCATGGCAGGCTCAACAGGCCAAAACACACCACTCTAGAACCTAGCAATACAAAAAATTGGCAGAGTTGACCTGATTGTTTCACCTTCTGGAGACATCAAAAACTTCAGTCTCTTTTCTTTGCCCCAGCTCTCTCGGTCATTAATAAGAGAAAACAACAGAGTTGAAAAGAAATTAAACCTACCGGTAAATAAGACAGATCCAAACTCCTAATCTCTTTACACTTGAGAGCAATCAACTCCACACCCAAATCATCAACACGCAAGCACCACTTCAAGCAAAGCGACCTTAACTTTCTACACCCAACAGCTATACAGCCGATCCCCATATCAGTTATTAACTTGCACCTTGCCAAACTCAGTCTCTCCAAATTCTTTGCCTCTGCAATTGCTGGGGCCGCCAAGTCAGTCAACTCCGTTCCGTTGGACAAATCAACCTCAACGAGACCCGAACAATTAAGAAACAAGCTTGATAACCCAGCATTCGTGAAAAACCTTGATCTGGACAGGTTTATTGAAAGCAAAGTAGCTTTCGAGGTTGATGATATCAAGTTTAACGTGTTGTCATCAACACGTGGACAAAGGGAGAGATCAAGGTGGGAAACAAAAGGGTATCTATGAAGGGTTCTAGGGAGGAGCTCAGTGCGTAGAGGTTTGAGAGACTTGCGGTGGCGAGACTCTATTAAGTAAAAGGTCTTGCATGTGACAGAGAATGATTTTCTGGCAAAAGGGTCGTTGTCAAGATGGTCAAGGATTTTCCATACAATCTCATCTGTTAACATATCAAAAGGGTTGGATGAAGAATCAGGTGAGAGTGGTTGCGTTTTTTCCTTCTTGTAGCTTTCCATTGGGATGTTTTAAATGCAAAACTTCCTTCTTTCTGGAAGCTTTTTTCTGAGAAAACAATTTTGTCAAAGGCTAAGGTAAGGAACGGAGCAGAACATCGAAACAGGGTTTGGAAAATTGAATTTAATAAGATAGAATGTCTAAGAGATTTGGATAGTGGGGCTTGCAAGATTCTGAGTTAACCGTTAACAGAAAAAAGAGAGCATATGATCAGTTGGAGGAGGTGACTTGGGTTGTATCTGGGAAGAAGAAGACTTGCATGTCAAATTACTATACTGGGCTTCCAGGCTTTTTCAATTATATTTGACAGACTCACCAAATGACCCCACAAATATTAATACACGTTGCAGTGGTACTTTTATTTTCAAAATACAAAAATTGACCATTTAATAAAACTCCAATTTTTGGCTCACTCTCACCTGACAAAATAACTATTATTATATTTTACGAATAACTTTGGTTTAATTTTTTAATTTTTAACTGTCAACCAAACTTATTTAATGCTTCTTTTAATAAGCATTTAAAAAATTTATTACCATGGTGAAATATTCAATGCAAGTCTAAAAATATTCATTTTATAAAGTTTAAATAAAAAAATTAAAATATTTTTTCATTCATTTTGCAAAATTATTAATAATTGGTAAAAAAAGGGGTGGGGGGGGGGAAAGGAGCAAAGTGGGAGAGGGGGTATTTTGGGAAAAAGAAAAAATGACAGGGTGACTTGCTAATAAAAGAAGGGGAGGGTGCAATATGAAAGACTCATTCGGGGAAGTAAACATATGAGGAAGGACAGATTCAAGTGCACATGGTACGGCGATAAAGAAAAGTCCGCCCCCTCACTGTGCATTAACGTACCGAACCCTTGTACGTTTAACTTATCATGCATCTTTTCGGAGCGTGAGCATCACGTTTCAATCTGAGTCCAACAACGTACCCAAGCCTCCATGTCTTGTTTCGGACGTGGTCAAAGGAGAGCGTCTTTCATTTTCAGGCTCTCTTTTCCTCTTCAATTTTTTTATATTTTCATAATTAAAGCTGTGATTGTTAATTAATTTTTTTATCAACACAAGAGCCGCCTAATCACAGGATGCCAACCCATATAGAACCTCGAATTCAGGCTCTCTCTCTCTCTCTCTCTCTCTCTCTCTCTCTCTCTCTCTCTCTCTTTTCTACAATTTGTTTCTTTTTTTTATTCCATTGGTTTGTTTTTTTTTTTTTTTTGGGTTAAATTATTGCCGGCATATACTAAATATGAAATTCCCAATGAAAAAATATGCATATAAATAGACGTGCTTCTGTTTTTACTTTTTGTTCTTTGTTAGTTTTTGTTTTCAATTATTTTTAATTTTCTGCCTTTTTATTTTGTATTATAAAAAATACAAAAAAACAAAAATCCAGATCAACTTACAAGTTAATGGCTTCCCTGGCAGCTTCATTGCGACGTTAACGCCTTTCCTGGGAGCTTAATTTACAAGTTAATGCCTTCCCCGGGAGTAAGAGTGAATCTGACAAATTTATGCTTTGATAACTTGAAATACATCCATTGTCTCTTCAACCAACATACTTGCAGAAATAGAATAAGTTATCACAACATATTTGGTTACTTTGAACCATCAAAAAAGATGAGAAAAGGCTACGGATCATTGGTTTCTTCGAGATCTACATGACTATGGTATGCATGATTCTTTGCACTTACTACATATCCAAGGCAAGATATAAAACATCATTAACAAAAGGTTAGGCTACTTCTTTGCAAAAGTAATAGCCATGGGATATTGAGGGGCGATTTTGAAACCCTGAAGGTGCTGCATGGCTGTAGAAGACTGCTCTTCATCTTCGTACTCTACAAAGGCAATACCTGGCTTTGCTTCAATCATTCGAACTTCCCTGAATCCAGGGTACTGTTCGAAAAGCAGCTGCAGCATCATGCTTGTTGCCTCATGAGGTAAATTCTGTATGAATAGAATATTGTTCGGTGCAGCCTGCTCTTGGGCATTCAGGTTTCCATTATGGAAAGGAGCCTGCACATAATCAGACGGAATTTATCCAATGAGGCATGGAAATAACATGTCCGTAAACTCAATCCTTTTTGATAAAAGAACAGCCCAAATAAGAGTAAAGGCATATCTTAGGTACTATCTAAGCACTGCAAGCATAATACAAGAGCAGCCATTCACATAGGTAAAGCTATGGGGTTGAGAGAGAGAGAGGAAGCAACTATCAAATCGAAAATAGTCCTGCACATTACCTTTGGTCCTCCATTACTTTGAGAACCTGTGCCATTTGACATTGCAGATTGCTGTGCCTCCTCTGCACGTCGCTTCCTTTCAGCTGAAATTTGCATATTGTATCAAAAGAAAGTCAACAAATAAGAGAGCAGTAAAGCTAAACCAAACAAAAAGTAGTTTACATTTTGGATGCGAATTAGTCAGCAAAACCAAAGAAACAAGCAAAATTAAAATCCCCTACCCCCATAAAAGGTAACTCCATAGACTGCTTGTCCTTTTTTTTCTTTTGCAATTTAGCAATTTCTTTACAAACAGTAAATCCAAAAGTACAAAAATCTTGTACCAGAATAGCATCATTAAACAAGCAGCCGGTGATTCAGTGGGTATATTTATCCCCCACCAAAATTAACAAAACTGCTAGAACAATATTGTGAAAGGAAATTGTATTTTCCTGTCCCAATGCACAGCCAATGGGTCAATTACTGAAATATGAAATTAAAAAAAAAAAAAAAACATTTCATGGTTAAGAAAACCAAAACATCTAAGTTCTAACCCCTCCTCCTAGGCCTTCATCTAACTGTACCCCAAAAAGGTACCATGTATTTAAAAACCATCATTCTTTTACTCTCTGTTTTTCTTTTGGTCAAAAGGGCAGATTAGTGTTGAAAAATACAAATGCATAATTGCAAGAATTACTTTCACATGATAACATAATGAAATACAGGTGAAATCATTTTGCTTAAGTAAATCACGACCATACGTTATGCATATGGAAATTTAAAGAGCTAATGAGTGAGTAGTCACCTTTTTCTTCTTGCTTCTTCTTCTTTTCCCTGGGAACAAAGCTTCCATCATTTTTGGCAATACAATCTGACTTAGTTTTTGCATATTGTATCCGCTGCTCCAAATTAATCATATAGACAGTCAAATCTAGCTATCTAAGCATCATTAGCAACTAAAACCACAAATTAAGCCTGCAAAATTTCGATTGCAATCAGAAGTGATGCCTAGAGAATAAAGCAAATTTTGTTAAAGTAGCCATCTGCAAGAATATATGAACATGGCGAGGTAGATAACAATAGCATCATTACGGTGTTCGATAAATAGTGAAAAGTCTTCAAGGAACGAAGCAGAGACAATAGCCCTGATTTATAATAATAAAAAAAAAGGGTCCTAAAATGTCAGCAAAATGAGTTGACATGACAGTTTTCAGGAGGTTTAAGCTTACTCCAGAAGAACCACACATAACAAAATGTATACATACACCTTTGAGCATCATATCATATTTGAATAATGTGAAGCAAATATTCTCAGTACATAACAGAATAATTCCATTTGCAAGTCCCAACAAAGACTAATTTCACTTAAATGGTAAATAGTAACTACGAAACCTACATCATTAAAATTGAAAGAGAAGAGACCATGTTGATCATATATATATATATATAATATACTCACCATAGGTTTATCATAAAATGGAAAATTTTGCATTTGACGAAATGCGTTACTGGCAGCTGTCAACTCATCGAAAACAACCCATGCTTGTCCACGAAGCTTGGGCGTCTTCAAGGCAACAACATCCAAGATCCTTCCATATTGAGAGAATAAAGCATAAAGGGATCTCTTTAATTCTGACAAAGAAAGAAAAAAATGTTAAATTCGAAATCAATCCCATTTCAAAGTTCAAACCAATGATAATCTGTTGGGTGTTTCTAAAATTTTAACTTCAATGTCACACTGTTAGTATTAAACCCTAAGAAAAGGGGAAAACAATTTTTTTTTTATGTTAAACCCTAAAAAGAACCTAGGCTTTCCATTTTGCAAATACAAATACTTGGGGGCAAGGTTCAGTTTATCTTATTTGCCCTAGGTTTCTCATTTTATTTGCCCTAGGTTTCTCAGCAACCAAACAATACTTGAGAGAAACAAAAGAGAAAGATTTATTTAGATAGAGGTACCTTCTTTCTTGATCTTCTCGTTGAGGTTCTTGATGTAAATAGTTTGATTTGGAGGTATATCGGCAGTTAGCATTTTCGCTGGGTTTTACCCTAATCTTTCAATCACCAACAGATTGTTAAACTGACAGGAAAGAACATTGACAGAGGAGTTGAGAGTTCAGTGTTGAGAAATTGGCATTGAGATTGGGATTGGGCTAAGCCCTAGAGAGGTTTTATTGAGCATTTAAGAGCAAGTATCTGTAGATAAAGATATGGGTTAGTATTTGACAAATGGGCCTCCAGTAATATAAAAGCCAGGGCTGATCCTCTTCTTAGTGAAACTAAGCTTTGGGCTTTTGCTGTGAATCCATACTTTTATTGGGCTTTAGACTATGAATCTAAGCCCTATTACAAGAGTCACAAAATTTTAAGTTTTTTTTTTTTTTTTAAATGGAGTCTTTTTTTAGGATAAAATATTAACGTAAAAGTAAAACACTCGATTTTTTTTTTTTTTTACAATATAAAAACTAAAGTAATAATTGTGGGCTCAGGCTGAGAATGAGAGCATGGTATTTTATTTGGACACGTCAGTTGCCCAAACCTTCAGCCCAAATAATTTAACTGGGCCGTCAATGTTAAATTATTTTATTGCTCTCAACTCATTCCAAAATTACGACACGAGAAACCTTCCGCCAATCTTCACCAAAACCCCAGACATCACAAACTCAGAAACGAAAGGGCAAACACAATAGAAACGAGGAAATGTTGAGTTCCATTTTGAAACGAGCCACGCTGTCGAAGCTCCGACCCGACCTAGTATTCCCTCAGCGGACCCATCCCCAATCAAAACTCTATTCTTCCAAGAACGCAAAGGCCTCGCTTGCGAAAGCCAAGAAAGCTGATGCCAAGTCCAAGTCTAAGTCCAAGAGCAGCGATTCCTCATCCGCTTTCGCATCCACCGCAGGTGAAGAGTTCGAATCTGCCGGCGCCGATGACTTCGAGGCTGCTCGAGGCCGCCGCCTGGTCGAGGACGAGAAGGACCCTTCTCTAGATGTGGGTCACGATGGACGTCCCTTGTTCACTTCGACTTCCTCACTCTCCCAGCTGACGCGCAAAGACGCTTGCTCGTATATGAAATTCAGTGAGAAGGGATTGAAGGAGGTATTGCCGGAGGGGTTGCCGATGGGAATGGTGGCGGAGTTCAAGGAGTCGATGAGGCCAGCATTGCTTGTTCGACAGAGTTTCTTGGATCTTCGTGATAATTTTAGACGCATTGTTGATCCTCCAATGTGGTCTTCTCATGCTAAAGGTGGCTCTTTTTCATATTTTCTATTTCAAAGATGCAAATTTCAATTTTTTTTTAAATTCATTTTCTCATTCCCTTTTCTGGATTTAATTTTGGATTATACAGTCAAACTCTTACAATTGAAGTTATATATAAAATAATTTGTAGCTACAAATGGTGTGAACTTATTCTGGTTTTTACTTTACCTCTTCAGCTCCTAAAGCGAGAAAGCAAGTTGTGTTGGACGGTCCAGTTAGCTGTGGGAAGAGTATTGCGCTTGCAATGCTTGTGCATTGGGCTCGTGATGAGGGTTGGCTAGTTCTGTACGCCCCTAGAGGTCGTGAGTGGACTCATGGAGGATTTTTCTATAAAAATCCAGAAACAGGTCTTTGGGACACACCTTTACAGGCTGAAAATGTTCTTAAGGCAAGAACTTTTTCCCTTTGTCAATTCAAAGTATTTTATACTCCAGTTTACTGATATGTCAAAACTCAAAACGCCATTGTACTTACATTTTATTAAGTCAATAAATAAGTTTATTATCTTCTCCATGCTCAATATTAGTTCATTTTCCTGGTACATTTTTTGTCTTCATGAGATGAGGGCAGATGAAAGTTTAGTTGTTGATGCCCTCCCCCTTTTATAAAAGAATTTTATAAAAGAAAAAAAAGAAATAAAGAAATAAAGGAAGTCATGTGTTTAGACTGTGTATGTCTTCTCGAGAGAATTTTATAAAGAAAAAAAGAAAGAAATAAAAGAAGTCATGTTTTTAGACTGTGTATGTCTCTGGCACTTCTTTTTTGCTTTTTTTTTTTTTTCTGCTTGGTTTGTTTTATGATACAATGAAGTTGTATACTGTATACCTTATGGTTTTTATTTCTACAGGATTTTCTGAAATATAATGAATCGCGCTTACAACAATTGCCTTGCCAAATTTTTGACCCTATTCCTTTGGGAGAAGGTGCTGGTGTTGGATGGATGAAAGGAATTGAATCCATGGCCTTCACTGAAGGTACAACTCTGTATGACCTGATTCAAATGGGAATCAAGTACTCACATGCAGCTGTTGGAGTTGTAGTTCGGTTGAGAAAAGAATTATCACTCGTGAAAGATGTCCCTGTGCTTATTGCAATTGACCAGGTGAGCACCATATTGCCATGTCTTGTAATCCCCAGTCACACGAATAAACTTTATTATAATTCCTTCTACCTTTTTTTTTTTTTTTGTAGTTAGTTGGCATATTTTGACTGATTTATCCTGTTATATCTTCAGTATAATAATTGGTTTACGTTCAGTGAGTATGAGGAGCCAGTGACTGTTCGTTCTCGTCGACCGATACATGCTAGAGAACTTGCAATGGTTGGTATCAGCTCTTTTGCTTTATTTTATATTGCTCAGTTTCATGTTAATGTGGGCGATTCTGTCTACCTTTTTTGAGTTTTATTCTTAGCTTTAGGATTATGCTAATACCTTGTGATAAGTTGGATATATAGATATTAACTTTCTTGTGCTCACTCTTGAAAAGAGTGGTCATCTGGCTCTAGCAGTAGTCTCCTTTCAGCTTGACTATCTTGCTGATACTTTTATCATCCTTGAAATCATTTTATCATTTTATGCCTATAAAACATTTTTTATGTTTCTTCTGCAGGTCAATGCCTTTAGGTCCATGATGCATGATGACATGATGGTTGGTGCTTTCTCTCATTCAACTGCTGTAGGAAAACTTCGACAATACCTGCCAGATGTCCCTGCAGATGCCCGTGTTAATTTGCCTCGATATAGTTTAGATGAGGCTGCAACCGTTTGCCATTACTACCTCAGGTTTGCATATGCTTTACACCTAGTATCATGAATTTTGATTTTTCTTTTGAACTTGTAGGATGCCCAAAACCTCATATAGATTAAAGTTTTTGCTTCCTTTAGATTACATCATCGGCCCTTAGACTTTAGAGTTACATAGTTTGTTGTTTACCATTTGCAGGCAAAGGCTTGTAAGAAGAGAAGCATTCTCAGAGGAAAGCTGGAAAAAGGTGTATTACTTATCCAATGGAAATGGGGCAGAAATGAGATGGTTAGTTCCTTTGATGCGGTAAAACTCAAAGACATAGGAAATAAAATCTCGTCGATAAGATTTCAAGACATCCATTGATAGGGTTTCTGGTTCGCGCATGGTGACACCTTTTGTTTATCAATCTTTTTTTCATCAAATTTTATGCTTCTGCTCGGTGTATCAAATTTTATTGGCAACGCCAAGTTGTATAACTTATAAGAACTGGCTGTTGATATCTACTAGGTTATTCATTCAAATACAATGATTTAAAGGGAGGGTCTTACCCCGAGCAACAAACTATAAATGATGCCAATTGCCAAGCTCAAACTGGTTAAGACTTACAGGCAAAGCGTATAAGACAGAATCTTTGTTTAATACAAGAGTACATCATCTACTATCATTGCATTTTGACTAATCTAATTATAATTTAAAATTCTACATGAATTTTACACTTAGAAATAGTAAATTTTTACATAATTTTTTATTATGATATTAAAATGTATGACTGTAATAGAAAGAATTATCAGTGAAATGATTTAAACCAAATTTCAAAGATACAAGGAAAACTCAAGAAGCATGCATAGAAACAGGGCAATGTATGGAGTGTTCTTAACGAATTTCATTTTAAATTATAAAGAGGTACAACACTACATTAATTGAATTTTTTAGGATCATATACCGTATCGAAATCTTTGTAATAATGATTTAGAGCAGTTGAATTTGGACTTCACAAATGCTCAAATTTTTAAAAAATATATCTATGATAAGCTTGGGTCTTCTTAATCAACTGTATTAGGCGAAAATTAGCAGCTGCTTGATTCAGCAAACGCACAAAAATTTAAGGGAAATATAACAAAAGTCTATACAGTAGCAACATTCTATAGAAAAGCTTATCACTCCAATTGTGGTCAGATAAAGCTCATTGGGGACAAGATCACCTGTGTGTCTGAAGAGAGAGAGAGAGAGCTTGACTGTCATTACATGTATACCCTGAGCACATGATCTAATGTTCCTATGCTGCAAGCAAAAGTACCACGAAAAACGACTACTCAAAATTGATTTCCAGACTAGAATGGAGACTGGCATAATGGGCAAGAAGATTTGTGAGAAGTTGAAAACCACTTGTAGAGGCATGCCGAATGGAATTTGTGTTTGCAGGTCTTGCAAGCAAGACGAGGTAGGCTGTGGTTCACAGTGTGGATAACACTGTAACATATAGGGCACTCCTCAACACCTTCAAATTCCTTGTCAAAATTGCGCTTCCATATTCGTATAGCTTCAGCTAAAGCTCCATTCTGCATCACAGATAAAGTCCACCTCATAAATACAAAAAACTAGAGACGAAATAGAATGCAGATAAATCATTAGCTTGTAGCTAGTACCTGACTACGAACAAACGACATCATAGACATTAACCACTTCCTCTGTTTCACTTCACTTATTCCTAGGCTCCTCATGCAATCAACATCTACGGACCGTAATGGGTAAGATGCAGGAAGGCGAATAATTAGATCCATTCCTGTCTCATCTTTGGTATAGGTAGCAACAACCTCATTTGCTGATTTGCTTACACTTACTGAAAAGTTCTCATCAGCAAAATTTGCTGTCTTTATCTGCACAGCAGAAGAAACTTATCAAAAACTATGTAATTAAGTACAGAGATGAAAATGATAAGTTTTCTATTCCATCTCTTCCTCTTCAGGTCAAATGCTCCAAAACTTCAAACAAAAGTGCATCAGAGAGCAAGTCGGTCAGGCAACAATAAACTTCAATTCACTACTGATAAGTGATTGTCAGTTTCCATCTCGTTAAAGCAGAAAAAAGCTAAAGCATGCATTTCTCATTTCAGAACGATTGATATAGTAATAATTCCTACATCACTCATTGTCCAAATAATTCACAAAAAACTTGAAATTCAATGAGCCTATAGAAGCTTGCTAAATTTGTTAACAATGTACTTTGGTCATTAAAAATAGAACCATTATTGTTAAAGATACACACCAGGGATAGTTCGTTTGCAACCAGAGGTGGACTGCACCATGTTCTAGTAAAAGATTCGATCAATGATGAAGTAGAACGATCACGTAAATCACTAAACCATCCCCGCACGTAAGCAGGGAGTAGGCGAAGCATAAAGCCATATATAGCTCCAGCAAGTGCAGCCATTTTCACAGGTTCAATAGGCCAAAGGGATTCCACAGAAAAAAATAATGACCCTGTTGTGATGGAACGTGTGGCTGCAGTTGCAGCCTCTGATAAAACATTAGGAAGCTCTCCATCTTTCTTCTTTAGAACATGCATTAAACTCAAGTCGGAAGGCAGATGTTGGAAAAGGCAATCTAGTATCAATGGATTAGCAGAATTTTGAATATATTGTACCAGTCTCTCCCTTGAAGATGATAATGAAGGTAATGATGACAAATGGGATAAAAACAAAGACCAAGCAAGGAACAGATGTACCTACAAATATGAAGGATATATCATTATACCAAATGGAAATAATTTTATCAAATTTTTGTTAAGTAAAGCAAATATACCCGCTGCTCTGCTACTAAATCCATATCAAGAACATCATGAGGTAATTTCTCAATCATGTAGGATAGTTCTTCTCTCAAATGAATATTCTCTTCTGCTGAAAGATCAAGTTGATTTGACTCCTGGTAAGCATTTGAATCAACATCCAAGCATCGTGCACTTCCTTCACCAAAGACAGCCAACTTAGAAACAGGTTCTGTTGACAAAACAGCATAGGCAGCAAGCTGCAAAGATGGTATTGGTCTGGAAGAAAAGAGGATAGCATACAAAGAGCAAATAGGCCCTTTGCTTAGTCCCCAGAGCTCGACTGATTTCACTGCTTCTTCCCTAGTATGTGGAGGAGATTTGATGACGCTTGAAGCAACCAATTCCCAGAAAGATCGATGATAAAATCGAGAAGCTGATATAATAGATGCAGCCTCATTAGAATAAGAACCAGTAATGGCCTCAGCAATGCCAGTGGAAAAGAATAAGCGAAGAATGCTTTCTAGAATCTGGTTTCTAATAGGAATCCCATCTTTCTGTTCTCAAGGGGTTTAAATTATCTGTATCTTTGGTTGGTTGAAGTTCCAAAAGCCCACAAAAAAAGGAAAATGAGATGATGGAATTTTTAGTGACATTTATAGGAGAAGGGTCAGAAACCAACACAATTTGTTTAAGTTTATCACAAATAAGATCCAAGCTATCAGAAGAAGAGTGTTCAGTGACTGCATCGTTCACATTTTCAGCAACTTCCTCCATCATTACCACTGCCGATTCAATCCAGTACCTTAGATGGAAAAATAGAAACTCCCAATCTTCTTCATCAAATTCTCTCCAGCAATAACCAACTGAAATAACCATTAGCTTTGATAGCAGCATTTGCACTACTGGCAACTGATTAGCTGCAATTGATCCACTATTTTCATGTCTCTGCTTCCGAAATAAATCCAGTAAGAGAATTCTCTCCTCATGACCAATGCTTCTATCCAGCTTCATTATTTCAGCACCTCCCATAACCCTTAAAGGATAACAGGAGAAGACCAAGTGGAACCATTCTTCCATATCTATTACAACACCCCCCCCCCCCCCAAAAAAAAGAAAAAGAAAAGGTCAGAGAGGATGAAGAATCATTACCATAACTTAAAACAGAAATCACATATTTCAATCAAATGATGTAAGAAATAAAAGGGGAGTGAATGAGGTGCAGCAACAACCACATGCAACCAAATAAAAATGATCAAGACTTTTTCAATAGAAACAAATTCTTATAAGATGCTTGTCTTTGTTTAAGTTTCAAGTCATATGCCATGCATCAAAGGACAAAAGATACTATTCAAATACCATTTTTGCCCAAAAGCGATTGGTCTTATACCATAAATTTAACTTCCAGTAATAAATTACACTAAAAGCACGCATACCCTGTCCAGTTTGCCATGTGACCAAAGGTGGGAATAATAGAATCCTCTGCAGCCAGCTTTTGATAGTATCCTGCATCCGATTTTCATCAAGTGCATCGGGTTTAACATCTGTACTAGTACATTCACTGGATCTGATACTTCTTTGCCATAAAGTAGGTACAAGAACACATAAAATTGGAGGAAGTATCCTCAAACAATTTGTGTTTACTGCTTCACCTATAAAGAGTTTATTTACAAGAAGCTGAAACAGAATCATGGCCTTTCCTGTTCCCCAAATATTTTCTTTTAACAATGTGAAAAGGAAAGATACAAGAGCTCTCAAAAAGGGCTCTTGTATATCCTCCATATCTTCACCTAAAGTAGGCCATGCATGAAGTGAAGTCTGTACACAATTTTCACCATGAATGAGAGCACCATCAAGTAAAATGCTGAAAATGGAATCTAAGAAGCTCCCGTGAGAAGAATAATTTCTACTCTTGGCAAATGAGATCAGCTGAGGTAAGAAAGAGGTTGCAGCACTTCCTTCTGGCCATTTCCATGTGCATAGTATTTCTGCAGCAAGCCAAGCTCGAGAAGTAACCTCAGTATTTGTTTTATCCTCAGTTGATAATGGTGAAGTGTCCAAGTCTTCACAAGCAATGACTTTATCAAACCCAAGTTTATAAATAAGTTTATCAATTAAAGAAATGAACTTGTAGTTTCCATATGCCTGCATCCAACATACACTTGCAATTGGTTAGTCCTATAGTTCAACCTTGTTGCGGAAATTGCAGATACTTTAAAAATACAAAATAGTTTTTTTTTTTTTTTCAAAAAAGCAAAAACAAGATTAGACGATATTTCATGGACAATCAAGAAAAATCCAATTAAGATCAGTCAATCATTCATACAAACTGAAGCACTCACTGAACATCAATGATATGATACGCTTATGAAATACTTACGTGTCATTCACTACAGGCTCAATTTAAGCAGTGTACTTTGTGTTCTACACATCACTTAAGACAGTAGAATGACTAAAAAGATGTATAGAGTAATAAAAGCTAAACTTGCACTTTCAGTCCATCCTACTACAGCTAATATGTTACCACATATTTGAAGGAGATGCTTGCATCATAACAGGAGCAATTAATAACATCTTAAGATGTGTCTGTGCATGTTTGTGTGTGTGTGTGTGTGTGTCTCTCTCTCTCTCTCTATATATATATTAGAGAGAGAGAGGAATTATGCCAGCAAGAAGGATTATAAACATAATGCCACTCACGACTCTTTCAGTATCTGATTTAGCCGATCCTTTTAGGGAATGGAAGTCAGCTACGATCCACCAAGGCCACATATCACCCTTGCTTAGAAGATGATCTAACAGATTTTGTTCCTCGTACTGATCCTGACAGAGACACTCAAGCACATCTATCATCATCAGGTAGCATAAAGACATGAATTTATTGGTATCAAGTTTATCTTCCTTGAAGATGGCAGACCTAATAGTGCAAATAAAGATGCTCCTTATTCCTTTTCTCACATCAGTGCTGAAGCTTTTCCACAAATTGCTTATCTTGGATTGACAACCATGTGCTGATTCACAAATACCCAAACGTGCTTTGATTTTGTTACAGGATTCATCATTGAGAGCATCGTCTACTGCTAATGTCATCCTATACTCCCAGTCAATAATAAACACGGCAGATGAAATACTTGAAACCAAGCCACTTTCCTCATCAAGTGCCCTTAAGCAAAAGAAACTACCCTCAAATATTTCAAGAGCAAAATGAGCCAGGTCAACCACATTTGCAGGATTCTTACTTTCCAATCCAAGGCCATTCTCTACAGAAGTAAACAGAGCACCTGCCTGCTTAACAGAATTGAAAGAGGAATCGAGAATAAAAGAAACTAGTCTTCTTAAAACCTCCTTGACTATCAGGATCATCGACTTTCTAGAGACAAGTGAATCTAGATTGCCTTCTGTTGCACCACCAAGAACAGAACTGCAGACAGTACAAACAACAAGGGTCAAAGAAAAGAATTATAAACGCATAAATCAACAAAAATATGCATGGATTCAACATGAGAGACAATTCTCTACATCTAAAAAATAATTAGACTATTCTTTGTCAATGTATGGCCTAGAAATTTAGGTCATACAATATCCCCAAAACCTTATCTTTTTTAAAGGATATCCAAGAAAGCAAATGACAAACTGCTATAATTTTCCATTACATATGAATGGCCATGTCATGCATGAGAAATGTCATGGAATGGCATGATGCACTATGGATATTTTCTGAGGCACCAAGTATCATACTAAGTTAATAATTTCTTAGTAAATATTGATATCAATTGGTTGCCAATTCCTGTAATTCAAATAGCAGAGAAAAAAAAATTAACATGCTTTTCCATTCACATACCACACAAACCGTGCATCAGAAGTTCCAAAAGGAGGAAGGGAAAAAGCAACAGAAACAGCAGTTGCTTCAAGAAGATCATGATGCCAATGATCTGGGAGGGAACCTAGCCGATGAAAAGAATTTTCTTCCACTTTCCTTCTCCTAATCTCATTTCTCACTTTCTCAAAAAGCATTGCCAACACTGCTAAGTGATTTGAGTTAATGGAGCGTGACCCAACCTTAGAATTCACCAAGTCAATGGCATATGTGATAACAGCATGCCACTGCTCAGAGAAACATTCATTATCAAGCAATGCAAGCAACAGATCTAGTCGAGCACTGGTACCACAATCATGTTCATGCAAACACCAAGGAACAAATGTTTCCTTGTAAGCTTGAAGAAAATACTCCAGCTTCAGTTCACTGTCCTTGTCATGGGGAGGACCACAAGAAAGTGCATTGCTGTTGGAGAAAATCTCTTTGAGTACCTTACGAGCTCCAAATATTGAAACTGAAATAGACAATAGCCTCACACCATCTGGCGAATCCTATTGTGGAGGAAAATCCAAAAGTGAATATTCAAATAAAATCATTCATACATAAGAGATAATACCATAAGCACAAGACAGGATGTGATGTTGCATTTCTTGAGCTTAACAAGTAGATGACTTAGACTGTATCATGAAAGAGGTGAAGGATAGATGCAAAACAGGAGGAATGAGACTCTGGGTGGGCATCCTAGCTAAACTAAAATTGCTCTGGTCATTCCAACTTTTCATGAAGCCAAACTCAAGTTATTTCTTCTTTTTGACATTTCCATTCAGAAACGAAAAATAAAGATAATATAAAAACACAAAATGCAGTGAAAATAGTAATAAAAGCACTCCATAGTTTTTTGGAGCCCAGGGTATAGGAGAACCAGAAACAGATTTTTCATCCAGTTCATCCAGCTCACAATAACATTTTTTTAACAATTAAAGATACTTCAGTGGCCCAACAGATACTAGGATGTAGATGAAAAGTCCTTTAGTTTCTATTGACCAAGAATACTAGATAAACATGATTTGCTCGTAGCACAATTACAACCAGCAGCATCAATAAATTGTTAGTCTTTCATAAACAACAAATAGTTAAGGAAGATGTATGTACAGTATGCAAGTACTTATAACCTTCCATCCCATCCCACATGAATTTGCATAGTTACATAAATAGCATATATAAGTATAATTGAGTAATTGATATCTGTCAAATATTAAGAGTTCATGCAATGGTAACTTACAAGTGATCTGACCAACGGGAAAGACTTAGCCAACATTGGTCCCACTAAATGCAGCAAAGGCCAAGCTTCACCCTTTTGCTTTGCATGTCGGTCCACTAAGAACAGAAATTTAATAATTAGGTCTATATTCACGGCTGGCTGTTCTGTGATCACTTTTTGCTGAAGTAATCTCTCACAAGTTTCTTGAAATGCCATACAAAAGACAAAGAGAAGATCATGTTCCAGTGCATAAATGCCAGAAAGAATTTCAACAATGCATTTTCCCAACTCCTGAAGATAACTTATTGAATACTTAATATTCTGCGTTTCTGTTGTCTTTCCATGGAGAGCCTGATCACTATCCTGGTCTTTTGAGCCCACAGATGATAGGTAATCTTGCCACAGAAGCTTTACAAGGATATTGTTAATAAGGGTTATCCGGAAATGAGAAACAGAATCAACGCTGTCACAAAATCTGGTTAAGAATGAGAAGACATGAGTTAGCATTCTAAATAAAATAAACGATACAAGTGAGAAGAATTCAGAACATCTGAATATGAGTGCAGACAAAAAACTCTATTAACTCATTACCTAGAGGCATTATGTAATCCCCAAAGAAAACACTCTTTAAATGCCCCGAAAAATGCTAGTTGATCTGCATTTGGAGAATGAATTGGGTTCCTTCCGGCCCATAGGTTATCGAAAAAATCAAGAAAAAAATTGTCTCCTGAGAATACTTTAGAAGGAATAGCATCTAAGAAGAGAACCAACGCAGGATAAGAAACTTGCTGAGATCCAAAGCACCCATTCCTAATAAAAGACCAAAACCGATTGAATACAGATTTTTGAACATTTAAGGTAGTCCAACTGTCGGGAAATCTCTTTGAAAATAGCAATATTGCATCCCACATCGAAGAATGACAAGTAGGATCTTTTTCAAGGAAAGCACCAAGAACTGCTGTAGCAAGAGTTTTCATATTTCCCTCACCAAAAGCCTGAGGAATGTTTTTAATGAAACTTCTTAAGACTGAGTATGTAGCTGACCGAACAGCAGGGCTTTGAGACTTCAAAAACTCCAGAAAATATTTATGATCAGAGAAGAGTTTTTCAGCAAAAGAAATTGCAGTTGCCTTAGCCTTAGAAGCATGTTTTGGTTCAGCAGCTACATTTTCAAAACCAGGACTTTCTATTTGCACAGAGACCAAAACATCAAGAAGAGTGGCCAAAGCCAGCAATGAAGAAGATACCACCTGCAATTAAAGACAAAGGATAAAACTTACAACATATTTCATGAACACATAACAAAGAAACCCAAGCAAAAAAATCAAAGGTATGCTAATGTTTGTGTTCATCGAATAGTAATTTCAGCATATACCAAACATTGTACATATTTATGTTAGAAAATGCATAGATGCATTAGCATGAATTGCAAGTATAACTTTGATACACTCATACAAGCATTCATGCATATAAAAACATATAATGTGCATGTTTGGTTGGATATCTTTAGGGATTGGTGACAGTTGGAAGTGGTGAAGAAAGATTAGGCACCTCATTCTTTCCAGTGGGTAGCCTAAAAAACGTACATGGTTACAGTTCTTCACAAATAAGTGAAGCCACTCAGTCAAGAATGGTACTCAAAAATATAAACTGAAAACTGAAAAAAAAAATATACATATATATATATATATATTTATATGGTTATAGTTCTTCACAAATAAGCAGGTGATAGCTCATTTTATCAACCCAACCAATGCCAAGGTGGGAAAATTAAGGGAAAAAATGAATATTAAAGGATAAGATAATTATTGCAATTTATTATCAATTCAATCAATAGGGAAAAAACCAATGTGCAAACTTGTTCAGAATGAGAAGGTTAAGTAAGTTGCAGTACTACTCTTTTCCGTAACCAAAACCATATCCAAAACAGATCCCTACGCATACCTGCTGGTGCATCTCTTGCAATTCATCCAAAGCAACTGCTTTATCGGACAAATTTTGTGGAGTAAGCTTCAAATTTTCTTCCAAATAAATAAAAATCTCAGTTGTACATAAGATTAAAGCATCCAATCTCTTTTCCGGAGCAGGGAAGGCAGCCTGCTTTTCACAATCAAATGATTAAATTGATTAAAACTAGCCGTCCAAAATTACATGTATAGGCTACATTAAAATTCTATTTAACAGTTTAAAGGATGTCAAGAAGATTGAACCTTCAGAAAACATGAATTTGATTCAAACCTGTAATGAACGCTTCGCAGCTTGGGAAACTTCAGAACTTGGATCAAATTGAGAGAACCACCATGGTCCCATCAAAGACTTCAAATGTGGAGCCAAATCTCTTCTGAGAAAACATTTAAGAGATCAACAACCAAATTTTTACTGCATAATAAAAACAGGGAAATGATTGTACAAAAGATGAGGGAAAATAACATTATACTCCTTTTACTCTGCCTCTTCTCATAAAGTAAGTCATCTTTCTTACCTCACCACTTTTGACTCAATAGGTATATTTTTGAAGATAAATAACATGAGTATCAGTTTATAATTTTCCATGAAAATAATTTTTTAAAACATTAATGAGGAGAATTTTAGAAATCTTAGTTGTTTGAGCTATGTATTTGTTTCTAAAGTACCAAAAAAAAAGATGTTCACCAGATAAGCATCTAGAAGACCAAAGCTTGTATGTCTTTCACCATTCATCGGATCAAACTTTTATGATTAATATCTTTCACTACAATGTCTCAATTAAATTGTCATACACAAGCAGGTATGAAAACAGCATTCATTAGCAAATAAAAAGGAAACAAAGTTCAAACCTGACAGCAGTGACAAGATTAGTCATTGTATCATGAGTAGCTCGCCGAACCTCTCGATTATAGTCCAGCAAAAGCTTCTTGTATTCAAATGCCTAAATGAAGGAGAGCATACCATTACTGGAACATATTAAACCAAGCATAAGGCTTGAAAACTGAAGTTCACTATTGCATCAGTGAGTATTATTCAGGTTTTAATGTTTTTCTTTTAAAATCCAAATGAAGTCAAACAAGGAATTGAATCATTAAGTTTTACTATACCAGAGTTTCAAGTTCCATGGTGAGGTATTAAATTAGCACCTTGGAGTCTCTCTAAAATTATATTCTATTAAAAAAAGATTAGATAAGAAACCACTTTAGTTTCTTTTATGCTACATAGAGCCATACATCTGCCATCCCAAAAAACAAGGAAATTCAAATTTTGTTTTCAATTCCAATAGAACGGTATCCACTAACCAATTTAGAAACATTTTCACATATACCTCTTTGTTGTTTGTTCTTCTCCTCATGAGGGTACCAGTTGTTCAAAATTTTCATTATTGCAAGACTAGAAAATTATAAAGCATAGCATATAGAAGCCCATTTCTCTTTCCATGTCAATTTCTTTCTCTACACACTGCTTTTTCCCCACGCACCATTTCTTTAAAGTCTACTTTAGTATTAATTCATATAACAGTGACTCAGTTGACGCATCTACCATGAGCAGTCACGAGCAAAGAGAATGAAATCATACCCATTGTGGAATGATTGGTACTATTTCCTTTCCAGACTTTTGCTTGAGCAGAGCAGACAGAGATGCCAGAGCTTTAAGCTGTTAATGAACAAGAAGCTGGTGACTACATGGAAGTTAAGCTGGATATAAATTAGAAAAAAAAAAAAGATTTTCCTTTATCATGAAGATATACTCAATTAATTATCAAATGGCAAGGGTTATCACACTAACCAAGCTTAGCAATTACAGCTGAAAATCAAATCTAATAACCGAAAAACTAAGATATGTACAATGAAACTTGCAAAAACTAGAAAGAAGCAAAAAGTTTATAGAGAGTTCATCACAGATATTCACGAAAATATGACAACCTTGGTAGTAGGATCCTTCCTTGCCAGCCTTTTTAAGTGCTGTGCGACTTCACTATCTATATCCTGAAATTAAAAAAGCCAATAGTATCAATTAATCGCATTGAAAGAATAAAGTCACTAATTTGATTAATAAAGTACAAATCTTTTTAGTGGGAAAAAGGAATTGAATACCAAAAAAGGAGTGGAATCTTCGGTAGAGAGAGAGGAATCCAGGCGAGAGCTACCGACATAGCCGCCGAATCCCACCGCTGCCGCTGCGGAACTCGATGGCAATAGAGAAGCCGCAAGGCTGCCAGCCGTAGAGGTCAAAATTAGCATATAGATTAATGAAAAAGATTTAATTTGTTAATAACTAATGCATTAAATTGAGAAAAAAAGTACAAAGAAAACCTGCTGCTTGAAGGGCGTGCCTTGCTCCTGGCCCCGTCACCCTTCTGTCTCCCCATTCTGGTGTACTTCGATTAAAAACGACACCGTCGGGTAGTTGTGAAGAAGGCTTTTTGACAGAGCTAGAGAGTGAGGACGAAAAAATTGAACAGAAGGTCCTGTTCTCGAATTAAAGATTCAAAGGCGGTGGAAGGGCCTTTACTTGCAGAAAAACAGGAGAAGAAGGAGAGCAGGAGCCCCTGGTAAAACCTTGGGCCGCGCTTCTATCTCAAAAGGGTATATAAAAACAATTTGATTTTGATGTTCTTCAATTACAATAAAATACCCTTCCAAAATTGGCAAAAAGGGTATACAATACAATTTGATTTTGATGTTCTTCAATTACAATAAAATACCGATCCAAAATTGGGATTTAGGTTTTTTTTCCCCTTTTAAAACTAAAATATTTTGATTTATATTTCTTTTGACTTGCTTTTACTTTACTTTGTTCCCTTTTTTATCTTAGACTACATGTAAAGACTTCATGTAAAACGAGTAAACATCCAAAGTTCAAGTAAATTTTGAGAACATTCCCAATCCAATTAAAAAATAAATAAATAAACTAATTCATTCATGTCTAACTTAATAAATTAAAACAAAAACTTAATTTCTAATAATTAATCACCAACATCTTATATTTTTACCCAAGCACAAGAAAACTTAAACTTTACCACAAGCTTTGTTCCATTTTGGGGTGGAGACGGGGGAAGTAGATCTGGATTGGGGCTTAAACAAAGATGCATGTAGAAATTGACACATGCTTCATATTGGAATCAATCCATATAACAAATTTACATAGCCAGAAGGTAGAAGAACACATACACTTTTTTGACTTTCCAATGGGAACACACATTTTGTACTTTAAAAATATATATAATATACAAAATTATGATTGGATCAAATAAAATGATATTATAAATAAAATTAAATTAAATAATTTTATTTTATCTTGCGTTTATATATGCAAAAATTAAAATAAAATAATTTATTTATTAATTAAAATTATTTTTTAAATTTATATAATTTAAATTATTAATATAATTTTTAAAAGTATAATAAAATATGTAAATTCAATCTTATTGATTAAAAATAATCTTCTCTATTTTGAGAAGATTGAATTATCCTATATCAAGAGAATAATTAATTTTTTTTATAATCTTATTCATTTCTTTATATACAAATCAAATATAATATAAAATTATTATCATCCTATATGCCAATCATAATCAAAGAATTGGCCAATTCTGGCTGCCAACTTGGGAGTTGAAACAAATGATCCCATGCGCCAAAATTTGGGAAAATCTCTTGAAGGACTAATGATCATTGAATTGAAAAACTTGCCGTCGACTGAAACAGCTTGTTGTCTCTCCTTACTCCAAATGATTTCTGTCTTTGTCTCCTTGTTTCACGCCTTCCTCCCACAAATGGCCGGTTGGCCACCACCACACATTTCCATCTCAGCCTCCATACCACCATCATCTCCCTGTAACCCAAATCTTCCTCCATCATGATTTTTGAGACATAATCGTTAAAATTATCTGCATGATCGATATTTTTCCAATTTCATATCGATAAGGGTAATTTGTCCAGAAATTGGAATTTTTTGGGACCATTAACCAAGAATATCACCACGAGTGCTACAATCAAAGCAGGATCTTCAGAGCCAGGAAACATTGTGAGTCGAAATTTATTCCTCCTAACATAAATCTGCCGAAGCTTGTGCATAAGACTAGTCTGTATAAATAAAAGCAAAGAACTAGAATGTAAAAGAGGTGCAGAATTAACACTATGAAACAAGTATGACATGAGAACCCATGAAGTATGAACCAAGAACTTAATTCAAGTAAGTGGCAACAGTATCCCAAATGTGAGATATTTCTAGTCAGACTACAGAAGATGAGAAAGAAACCCGATGCTATGATAAGACTACTTCAGTTATCTCTATGATTTCCGATGTATCATAGCTATTTGAAATTTGGATATAGGACAAAGACAAACATGCACCATTAGTAAATGTGGCAGTGTGAAGAAGCCACATAAGGGCACAATTAAAAAAGGGGCATGGCAACAATATCCCGGAGCCAGATGGGAGAGACAAAGAGCATCTCATTTAATCCATGTTTGCAGGAAAAAGTTAAGTTCATAGCAGTCAGAATAGTAACTAATTAGGCTCATTGAGGCCTCAGATTGTAAATTGGAATGCTGATGAGTTACAGACTATACCTGAGCCACAATGGAATCACCTTTGTAGATGGTGCAAGATCTTTGAAAATGGCAGCCTTTGAACTTGAAATCACAAGTTGACTCTCCCTGATTTTCAGCAACAAGAAATACCTCCAACTCAGTTCTGGTGAACTTATTCAATATCCTCTGCACTTTGAATATTAAATCCTTCTCATCGCCATCACCCTTAAAACCTTGCCAAGAACCATCCTTGAACCAGAGAGAAATGATAATTTACATTTAGGAAACTCCAAATAAGACAAAGTTCAACAACTATGACAAGATTCAATCATCTAAGGGGTTTCTAATCAACCAAAGTAAGAAACAAATTGCACAGTTTGCACTACACAATATTTAACCATAAACAATGACTACTTTTGAAAATAGAAGTGATTCAATTTGATTAATTCACATCTATTGAGAGACTAACTTGGTGACGGTAGATAGAGAAGAGAGGATTTCCAGCGGAATCGAGGAGAACAATCTTGTCGTCTGATGATGATTTTGAGGATTGACGGTTGACTCTGAAAATGATCTTACCGGAAGAATCAGCGAATCCTAAGACGCCACGTGGGAGAGCAGGGTGTTTCTTGGATACGAACAGATCGACCGGGATCGGCAAATTCGCCGGATGAATCGGAGCTGAAGTGCTACTCATTGGTGAATTCTCTCGCGCTGCCTCAGTTTCCGAAGAATAAAGCAAGTTATTTTGAAGATGAAATTAGAGCAAAGAGTTTTGCATTTTGAAACGCGTTAGGATAATGGAAGAATAAAAGTGAAAAGGAAGACAACTTGCCGCTTTTCAACTTTGATAATAACACGGATAGATCAGTAAGAACAATTCCTTTAACCAAAGCCCAGAGAACCATTTAAATATTCCCATGGGCCTGAAAGGGTCGTGGATCTGACCCAACTTTCTTTTCTTTTCTTTTTTTTGTCTGAAAGGAAAAATTCATCATATCAATCGGGGAAGACAATTAACATATTAAGTTGGTCATAGTTTGTGATCCAAATCACATTATTGTCTAATTAGACTTGAAACTACATATTGTCAATTAGCAATATATGAATATAATTGTACCTAATTTATAAAATTAATTCACCATTTTAGTTTCGTTACTAACATTTTAAAGCCTAATTTAGTATTACGTAAGCAATTTTTCATTCAAAAATTACTTTTGATTCAACTGAAAACAACAAAAAAATTATCATTTTTCAGTTTAAAAGTTTGATTTTGCAACCCAAACTAAAAAATCAAAAAGTACTTAAAAGGTACTTTTCCGATGAAAAAACTTTTTTGAGATAAAAAAACTATTATATAATCTTATATTTTTAATATTTTATTTTTTTATATATTTTTAAATATTTTAATTACTCATAATATTTTTTCATGATAATACTAAATACTTAAAATTTATAACTAAATTTTTTACCATATTTTTTAAACATATTTTTTTAACTCAAAAATTTTTCAATTACAACAAGTAATCCACTTTTCTTATGTTACGAAACAATATCAGGTAAATTGGGTTCAACTTTTGTAGTTCCAAGAGTACAATAAATTAACACTATATTTGAATTGAAGGGAAGGAAAGGAAAGGAAAACAAATAAAGAAAAGTAATGGAAATAGAAAAACTTTTTTTTGTTTGAATGAACTTTTAAATTAAAAGAAAGAAAAGAGGTGAAAATTTAATAACTTTTGATTTTTCTTATAATCATCACTTTTTTATACTTCAATTTGGGAGAAAAAACTGAGAAAAAAAAGTTGAAAAAATTTTATTTTTATAAAATGATTATTATATTCATATTTTTATTATGACGTTATATTTGATTATATAATTGATATTTCTTAAAAAAATAATTTTTTATGAGTATTTTATATAACATCACAATTTATAAATATTTTAGAATTTTTTAAATTTTAACAACAAAATAAGCCAAATTATTATCAGAATAAAATAAAAAGCTGAATCAAACACAAAATTAAGAGTGAATCAATAACTAGCTAATGAGTCTTACCATATTAAACATGTTCAATTTTCTTTAGAAAAATTTGTTTGTATAAGCTAGATAGTATAAAGATATATTTGTATATTATATGTTACTTTATAAAAAAAAAGGTTAAAATTGAAAAAAATTATAATGAATTATTTCATTTTTTTTCTATTTATCCAAGCAATAATTGTTAGAATTCATTTTCTTTCCTTTTTCTTTATTAATTTTAACTATCCAAATAAGTGATACATGTATCCTTTCCTTTCTTTTAAAAAACTTTCATTTCCTTTCATTTCCTTTTTCTTATTTATATGTATCCAAACATAGCGTAAGGTTTCATTTAATTCATATTTTTGTATTTTATTTTCTTAATACAAAGTAAAAATAAAAAACTGAATTAAAAATAAAAATCAAAGAACACAAAATATAAAATAAAAGCACGAACCAAATAAACCCACAAAGGAGCATCCATTTCTTCCATGAATTTGACAATGGCAACTCTGGGAAGAGAAATAAACACTTTAACTTCACATTTCATTGAATGGTCTAGTGTGCAAAGAGGCATGAAAAGACACCAATACCTATTCCTATACCTTGGCCACGACAGCGATATTAAGTTCACAAAATTCTTCCATTTGAAATCTATTCCAAACACACTGAACTTCCTCCAATCCATCAACACAATTGATGCATCCTTGGTTTCGAAATGATTGATTATCTGTCTTTACTTCTCCATAATGCTTTGTTTGTTCTTAATAAAGTCATTGATAAAAGCCAATTTTTTTGCTTTCTTTGATAAGTTTCATAACCTTAAAAGCGATCATTCATTCAACTCCCTACCTGTTAACACAACATTCGTAAAGATAAAAGCATTCCAATAGTTTGTTAGAAAAAATAAATAAGAGAAAAAAAAATTAAAAAAAATTTGGTTTTAAGGCATAAATAATACTTTCTTAAAGATAATTATGTTTTTAGTATACAATAAGACATCAAACTCTTCAATCAGAAGTATTGAAAATGATTATATAAAGATTTATTTATAATGAATGAACATATATAAGTTTTTATTCAAATGGTTATGACCTTATGTATAATCATAACCTTTATGAATAATACTCTATTTATATTCAAATAGTTATGACAATTTATCATATGATAATTATTTTTGTTCAAACATAATTATTTAAAATATGAATAAAATTAATACAAAAATTTATTTTATTCATCAATAATTAAAATTTTTTATTCAACATTGGATGCACTACATTCTAAACTACCAACAATCCCCTACTAGCTTCCATTAGTTTGGAATGTTGGTGCTTAATTTTTAATATTTCACACAAATAAATATTATAAATACAAAAAGGTATATCTTAATTTAAACCTTCAATTAGAGTATATATTTTAAAATTTTAATAAAGTTATTGGCGTCCATAAATTAAACCTTAACTTTTAGTGTTAGAACTAAAGATATAATACATATAATATTTATTTATTCTTTTGTCAGAGATTTACAATTGTTTTTAGTACTATTATGACCATCTACTTATTTTATTCATAAACATTTACAAGAGAAACACAAATTCTTCTTATTAAGTGGCACAACTTCTATATTTATATAGTTAGAGTTTCTATTATATCTCTATTACTTTAAACATTTAAACTCCATTAAGATTATAAAAACTCATCATCCCCACGTTATAGGTCACATTAGTTTCTAAAATTTGAATTGATTTTACTAGTGCTTATGAGATACATAACAATAACTTATTTTTACCCATTAAACTTTATAATTAGAGGTTACTAATTCAAAGTTGAGTTCTCATTTTTGGTATCTAATAGTAAGGGTTTAAATCCATTCTACTTACAGTACTACTAACCAAATATCTCGAAATTCAATTTTTTTATGGTAATTACCCCATTGAGATTGAATCTCTAATATAATTACTTCAGGCTAATATGTTTAAATTTTTTATTTTACATATTATTTATATGCTTTAGACATTGTTACCTTATTCTTATCATTTTAAAAAATAGTTGATTTTGGTTATAACCACAACTCTATACTTATAAATTTTAACCATTCTATTTTCATACTTTTATACAACTTTAATGCAATTATACTTCTAATACAATTGGATAAACTCAATGAATAAACCAAACTATTTTAGTCATTTTAAGATTTTTAAGCATCTTTTTTATGATTTTACTTTAATAAATGTCTAAACTTATTAGTTTGTATAATTTGCTCATAAAATTATACTGAAATCTTATAACACTATGGTGATAATTTTTATTTCTTTTGATTCTTATCACCCATAACATGTGCATGTATGCATTTTTTTATTAAAAAATATCTCATTTAATTGTTAATATATCATATATACTTAATCAAGTTAGTATTTCATTTATCTTTCCACTATTTGATTTTTTTTTTTTAAGTATGATGCCTTCAAATCTATCCTTAGTGAAAGATAACTAGCAAATATTTTAATATTTTTATAAAAGTTTCAAAACTTTTATATTTTAACTTAATATAAGAGTTTACATCAATAGGCAGATTTCAAATATAATCATGCTTTCTATAGTCTCTTTTTAAGATTTTTTATGTCAGTTCATAAATACTTATTATGAATCTATTTCATCATGGATACTATTAATAATTTTTATTATTATGAACAAAACCATTTTCATCATCCCAAATGGATTAAATAACATTCATTTTGCTATTATAAAAGTTTTCATATTCATAAAATCTTTGAATTCTCGTGACTTTCAAAGTAAATATATTTTAAAATTTTTACTATATAAAACTATAGATGATAAATTATTTGTACAATTCATGAATTAGATCATATACATAACAAAAAATTACCATAACATGATCAAAATTATGGCATCAACTTTGGCTTATGGCTATTCTAAGCAAACCATAATAATCCACATCATACTTACAAATCATGTAGATTTGTAGGTTGAAGTTTTCTCATTTATAGTGATGATTTTTAGTGAAAATCAACTATCTCAAATATTATCATGAGTTTTTAATGCATATATTAATTGCTCAATGGCCAATTCTAAGTTCATGACTATTAAAATCTCTAAACTTGATTTCAAAATTTGATGAGAACTTTATTCTTTCACCATTGTGCAACCGAAGTATATATCTCTATTATTTACCATTTTTAATTGGTCATAATATTATCTCTATTATTTATCACTTTTAATTGGTCATAACATTTTCAGATATATAATAAATTTAAACTTTACTCATAAGACCAATATGCCTATATACAATAAGAGTTCATAGTATATTTAACTTTAATTTCAAATACTTTCACAATCATTTTGTGATCAATATGTTCATATCTAGATCACCATATCAATGCCAGCCATGAAACATAAATCCAAAGAACCATTTTCATAAAATAGCATACACAATAATTATAATATAAGTTCTACTCATATTTCATGCAAAAACTCATAATGAATTTGCATTGGTTAAATTACTAATTAATTAACTCCAAGGCTTATAGCTTTCACAAGTTAATATTATTATCTAAGCCTACATATTAATATGGTATATAACTAGCCACATCTTTGCCATTGTCATGAAACTATTTAAAACCACGAAAAGTTGTGCAATTTTCATTTTAACAACTTGTCAAAAGCCATTTTTCAGGTAAAAGAAGCAAAAATATCTTCATTGTCTTTAATTAATAATGTATTAATTAGATGATGGCATTTTATCTTCATAGTTCATATCTTTTATATATATATATATAAGAAAGAAAATTTCATTTTATTCATTTCATTTTTGTAATATATGACAAATTATACCAAAAACATATACATATACAGGTGTCTTCGGAACATTGAATTTGTATATTCTTTTTTAATTTAAAAACATGGTTAATTAAACATTAATGAGCATATTTCAAAATGCTAGTAACCGACAAATTCTTCAATATTTTTTAATAATATGCCTTTTCTTTTAATCAATTATCTAGTTAGCCCAAATTATTAGCCAAATTATAGTTAATGATACTAATATAAAATTTACAAAATATAGAGATGCCATAGATTTACATATTTAATGTATTTTACATTACCATTAGCCACAATTCTTCATGAAATTATATATTCATTGCATATAATAAACTTGCATTAACTTATTACATTATAAATTCAAACAATTTATAAATGCTATCATCAACGGGAATAATATTTCAGAACCCAAATCTTAATAAACCTCATACTTATAATAATTTGATATTTTCTTTTTAGACAGGCATCTATTTAATCTCCTACTTTTTGAAAGCCAATTTCCTTAATCGTAGTTATACAATAGGAGTATTTATATACCAAATTCTTGAGTTTTTTTGTCATAAAAAACAAATTGAGTTGTATCTTAAATTTTTTTCTTTGTGATTGTTCACAATAAAATTTTATTTTGTAAAATCACTTCCAATGTAATACATCCAGCAAACAAAATATAAATCACGTTGCGCATATTTCTGATAATAATAATTATTTAGTTTATTATCCACCAATTAATTTATAAAGTATCATATCTTAATAATAATTATTCACATACATCAATTTAATTTTAATTGGTTTTCACAAAAATTGAACACTAGTCAAATTTTGAACCAATACTAAATTTTAAAAAAATCAACTTTTGATTTATAAATGACCAACAAAGATAGAGCCATACAAATAGCTTGACTTAACTTATTGTCTCAATTTTGGTGCCATGATTTAAAAATAAAACTAATATTGTAGTCAAATCTTATTTTCTGCATATATTCTTCATTTACATTTATTTTTTTATGGTAAGTTCTTTTACGTATTTTCGATTGTTTTCATAGAAACCGTGGGACAATTTGCCTATTCTATATATAACCAATATAACACAATTAAACAATAAGTCATTCCATTATAACTCAATTTAATTCATTACTTGATAACAGGTGATAATTCTTTTGATCGTAAATCAATTCATGTATTTCTCTTTTAGGTTTTCAGGCTATTTTTCATCCCAGTCTTTATAAACATCGATTTTTCAAATAGATATAATACAATTTATTAAACCCAATTATGGAGTCAATTTCAGAATATGCATAAATTTATGCAATGTGATTAATATTTTGCATATTGTGTTTTGACTTTATACATTAATTAAATTAATTGTTAACATATTTATCTTATTTAATCAATCTTCTTACCAACAATTATGCAAAAAATAAAATACATACCTCTAATGAAGATCTTTATAAAAATTAATATTTTGCTCCATGGAAACATTAGTCCTTTGACACATTGAGCTTCCTCTAATATTGATCTTCAAATCATATCAATTTCTTTTCTTGTATCTTCCTCATGCGAAATATAAATTTCTCATAATTGCTTTTAAACTATTAGAAAAAATAAATAAGAGAAAAGAAAAAATAGAAAAAAAAATATTGGCTTTAAGGCGTGAATAATATTTTCTTAAAGACAATTATGTCTTTAGGATACAACAAAACCTTAAACTCTCCAATAAGAAGTAGTAAAAATAATTATATTGAATAAACTTCTATTTAAATGGTTATGATTTTTTATATAATTATGATTTTTATGAATAATACTCTATTTATATTCAAATAGTTATGTTTATTTGTCATATGATAATTGTTTCTGTTTAAATATAATTATTTAAAATATAAATAAAATTAATACAAAATTTAATTTTATTCATCAATAATTAAATCTTTCAATCTATATAAAATGTACTTTATTTTAAACTACCAACTAGTATCCATGAGGAAATGGCGGATTCAAGAACTGCCTTATTCCCACAGTGAAAACGGCCATGGTGTTTAATGTGGATCCATTATTAAAGCTCTAAACCTTGATCTCCAAGCATAGGCAGCAAGGGCCTCAAAAGTTGATAAACTTTCTTTCATAACTACTTCATCCTGGTCGCTTATTTCTTGCTTCAAACTCATTTTAAGTCTTTTTATTCATGGACAATGTCATTAGTAGTCAAATATAGTGAAGTCGCTAAAGCATCATCCTTACCCACCAAGAATTTGGGAGGTTCCTGACGATCAGTTGCTTTTGCCAACAGCCTCTTCCTTTTCCACAAAGGTTTTACCGAGGGCTCGCTTTGTTTGCTCTCAATCTCAGTCAGGGCATGATAGAAATGAGCTACACCAAATCCATCAAGAACTGAGTGTGCCTCGCTCAGTCCAATTGCAAATCCTCCACACGAAAATTTGGTCACCTGATGCGTTAGTTGCTGATAATAACCTGCATTCTGGGATGGAATATCAGATGATAAATCAAAGACAGATTGTTTAGCAATTGATTCATATAGTCATTTGTCAGAATTGATATTTAAAATATTTAAAATTCAAATGGCAATACTTATAATATTTTTTTATCCTTAAATTATGATTTCTTTTATACTAAAAAAAATTGTATTATAAAGAAGAATCTGTAATCTATACATATGATGATTTTTTAAAAAAAAAAATAAAGGTGTGAGCTTATTACAACATTTATTAAGAAGGATCCGGCTAGTTAACTTATTGGAGCCGGCACTAAATAAGTTACTTTATTTGCATATATATAGGTGGACTTCTTAAGAATTTTAATATCCCATTTATTAATCAATTGACTTATCCATAAATTAATAGATTGCACTTTTGAATTTATCTAATAATAATATGATATGATAAAAATCCAAATATTTGAGATAAAATTGATAAATATTTTATTGAAAATATTACACCTCCTGTATATAATATTGAATTGTCCTTGAAGATTTAGCCTAAAACTATCAGTGGTAAATTAAAATCAATTTTGTTTTAATAATTGGAGTTGTTAAAGATTAAATTTTAATAACTGGAGCTAAAAATTCGAACAAACCAGCTCCGCTTTGGTGTTGGCTAAAATCATTTAATCATTTAATTAAAGTCATTTAATTTAAAGATTCAAATAGATATGTATTTTATTTTATTTTTTGTTTAAATCTTTAACTAAAAGTTAAATTATATATTTGGTTTTTTTGGTCAAATAGATAATTTTTAAGAGAATTTCGTTGAAAAATAACCCTAATCCATAGATTTGACTAGTATATTGCCGGTTTTGGAAGTAGTTATTAGTTTATGAACCCAACAGCCAAGTGGAGCGAAAGCTAATCTTGTAGCGGGGGACAGTGATAATTAATTTATCCCGGATTAAGCCACGATTTTTTTTATCTTAATTAACTTTTAAATCCCCATTGGCAAAGTCAATTATCTATTTGATCATCATCAATAATATTATTAGGTAGAGAGTCCCCCCCCCCCCCCCCCAAAAAAAAAGGCCGGTTTCATGCAGGAGGGTAGGTTAAGTAGGCTATAAGGATTGTGGAGTTAAATATATTTTTATATCTAAATTTTAAAAAATTTTATAAATTGATATTTAAAAAATAAAATATATAATTTTATTTTAAATTTTAAATAATATATAATTTTAATATTATTAATTTAATTAGTTTATATAATATCTAATCAGTATAATTTTATTATATGCATATTATTTGTTAAATAAAAATATTAAATATTTTGTAAAAATATTGTATGAATATCTTGTGGGTGGGTGTCACATAACAAATAATAATTAAACAATCTTAGACAATTTTTATAATTTAAGTAAAAAATATATTTTTTTATTTTATATTAAAAATATTGATAGCATATGTGGTGAAAACATAATTTGATAATATTTATTAAATGTTTCATATATAAGTTAATAAGATTAATAAAATTAGATATTAGATTTAGATGATACATAATTTAAAAGTTGAAGATGCAAATTATATATTTTATTTTTTTAATATAAATTTATATATGTTCAAGTTTACGTACTAAAAACGTAATTGACTCTTCCGAACAAAGATGAATATGACTAATTACTGCATCAATACTCATCTGTATTACATTTATACAAATTATCTGCTGTCATCATCTGTATAGTGACGTAAATTTATGAACTGAGACCCAAAAACAAAAGTTTTCTAGTTATTACGATACCAAAATGACAAAGAAAGACCAGATATTTGATTTTCCATGAGAGCTCTTGAACAGCATCGTAAGATATAAAACCAATGGAGATTGCTGAGATCCTATAACGAGGAGCATGTTTTTCTATGAATACACAATTCGTTTCCGACTGTTTACTATGGTTCATGAAATTAAGGTTAAGTAAAAATAATAGTATCTAAAATTAACACATTTGGAATTCACAGCAAGAAAAAGTTTGCATTAGTTTGGTGTCCCACTTTTACTTTGCAAGTTGTAAGACTGCAGAGAGTTAAGTATCGAGTCAATGTGTTTTGAATCTGTGAAAATAAGCATCATTACATGGCATTACATCATAACATTATAATACTACTACTACTACCAAAAAATTAAAAGACTTTAGTGGCAATTGGTTCCATTGTCAGAATAACTAGGATATTAACAATAACAATGATGTTGCAAGTCCTCCAAGATGTCTTTGCAACACTAAATCCGTTTGGATCTAATTGTGAACGGCATTATATATATATATATATATATATAATCATCTGTGATCTACCATGATGTCCAGACAACTCGCTTTAATTATCCATTAAGTCCATGTTTCACCTATAGGACCATCTCCAATCTTCACCCTGAGTATCATCACTATTACCATCATCAAGATGATTAGCATCACCATAGAAAGCATCATAAATCTCGTCTTCATATAACAAGTCTCCATCTTCAACGGATCCATTGCATCTCACATTCCCAACTTCTGAAGAATTGTTACTTTCCTCTTCTGATTGATCAGCAGCTTTACTCTCCACTCCCTCATCCTCATCGTCGTCGTCGTCGTCCTCCTCCTCCCCTCCCCCTCTTCAGATATTTCATCAGGATAATCATTTCTTGGATTATCTTCAGCTACAAACCACAAAAAAGAACAAACAAGTCATACAAGGGCATCCACAAATTTGGTGACAGAAAGTAGACTCTAAGATTACCATTTGAATCTTCACTATCATATTCTGACTCATATGGCACATCATAGAAATCCTGATCATCAACCTGTACCCTGAAACAAGATTATACATTAGTTTCAATAAGAGAGAGTGAGAGAGAGAGAGAGAGAGAATGGGGAATGAGATAGAGAAAAAACAGCAAAATAGAATTACTTACAACGGGAATAAATTTGAAGCTGTGTCCTCATCTACATCCATGTCATCCTTCACAGTGTAGTAGTCATACACATATTCATCTGCATATTAAGTTGAAAAAAGAAACATGTCAAAAGGACCTGAAGGACAAAAACCAACTATAAGCCACAATGATGTACTAAAGAGGGCCCAAATAACGATAATTCTCTAGTAAGACAACATTGCAGCAGAAGGCTCTGCCCAAAGCATATCAGAATTTATTCCATTATAAAAGATCAAAATTCGTAGGACTTCAAAGCCGAATATGATACCAGCTGAAAGAACCAAAATTGTTGCAGTGAGTAGTAGTTCTTCATAAAACAAATTTACAACCACAACCTTTTTCAAACATGTAAGCTCGCATATCAGATTCAATTTCTGCAGCAGCTGTAGGAATAAATTCTCTCAGTAGAGGCAAATAACTAGATAAAAGCTTCTGATCAGCCAATGATATCTCTCTGCTGTACAATCAAGGCAAGTTAATAAATTTTCAACAATGAATCTTTAATATATGAGTTAATGAAATTTAAGACAAACTTACTCATCAACTTGTATGCTATTAGAGCTTTCCTCAACATCAACACGAACAACATCATAGAAATGGCACATTTCATCCACTGCCTCTTTCTTACCTTTTCTGCTCCGCCATATTTGTTCAAAACGAGCATTTTGTGCAATTGCCTAAAAAGAACACTGTAAAACTACAGAAATATGAAAATAAAAGGCAAACAGGAAACAGATTTAACTACTAGAATGCTAGCTTGTAGACAGACATTTGATCCCTTTTTTCTATATCATTTTTAGATCACAAGATGACAAGTCATATTAACTTTTTGAACTTATTCCTATGAAGGGTGCACATAACAAATCTAGGAGCGAAATAAAGCAGTAAGCTGCTAAGCTCCAGTGTAAAATTTTGCTTACTGCAGACAAGCTTCTGAAGCTAGCCCAGATTCTCCAAGTGTGGACTAAAACAATAATATCAACAAGTTTCTATAATAACAACCGTAAGCACGCTCGAGCAGCTTGGTTTATTCTAGCAACAATGGTTCTCAAATTTTTACTTTGGCCTCATGAAAAGCATGTATTTCCAGATGTCATGCCAATGAAGCCATGAGCTTTGTGAAGACATTGCAAAGATTATAATACATGTACTTTCACAATTTTACCAAATTGTACCATAATTTAATCACTTAAGGTTACTGCATCAATCCCATAGTTTCTGAAGGAAAAGATAGAACCAGTCCGTCGCATGAAACCACTCCACACCAATTTTCTTTTATTTTTCTCTTCCCATAAAAATATAAAAAGTTTAAGCCTTTGAAACATTCCTTTGGTATATATGAAAATAAGACATAGCCAAACAAGCAGCTGGTTCCACTTTTCTAAATTTGTTAATTGGTGTAAAGCATTCCACATACACCAGTCCACGTGCTCACTTGATATTCTAGTATTTGTAAGATGACAGTAATTTCAGCTAAGATAAGATGATAGTGAAAGAAACAAACAAATGGAGTTAACAAGTAGGTATTATCCCATAATTTGACACACTTCAAAAATCTAGGTTCTAACAGGAAATTGAAATGTGACCAAAGCACAATGACCATCAGATATACAAAATCAGAAGAAAAGTTGAATTAATGAAAGCCATAAGATGAAAACTTAAGAATTATTCTCAAAGATTCATGATAAATAAGAACAAGGATACAAAACAAAAGATCAATGTATATGACTATTTTTTCAAGAACTAAAAGGGAAGTGCCAAAGCATTAGACATTAAACTACCTCTTGTTTTTGGATGGATTTAGATAGCTGCTCTTGTCGCTGCAGACATTAAAATCAAAATGCCAAAACATTAGGATACATACAGGAGACATAAATCTTAATGACCTCTGGATCCAAGAAGCAAGCATGAATACTGTTGTGTTGCTTAAGGAGAAAGATAAAGAGAGAGATATTACATTATTAGTTTTATGAGGGTGCCTTCCTTCCTGACTCTTTGCAGCACCGTTAGTAGCATCAGTGGAATTCGGCTGTCAAAGAAACCCACAATTAGAATTTTGCAGCATGTGTTGTACAATAGGACATGACCAGAAATTAACAAAGATGATAAGTTGTTACGATGTGAATGACCAACTTATGAAACAAGTTATGCGCAAGAAGCGCACACTAACAAAAGCAAAGGATAAAGATAGAATAGTTACACATATTACCAACATATTGATTACCATAAAAGATTGCACAAAATCAACAGTAGCCTCAGAGCTTATAGCTGTATCAACATGCCGCACAAATACTTTCTTACTCTTCAACTCCTCTAATACAGAACAACATCATTGTGTCAGTTTAAGAACTTCTAAAATTTAGAGCATGCAAATTAAGAATGACTCTTGAATGTAATTGAAAAGAAGCTACAACAGCAAATCCTAAATCTCAAAGAGAAAAACCTTTTTGGGAAGATTCAGATATCGATAGTTTCTGAAAATCAGAAAATGGGCGCTTCAAAGGTCTCTCATTGATTTCCAGCCCTGCAATCCAAAACACAAATTTCTCCTAAATTTTCAAAATTTATCACTTTAAAACTCCCTTTTTATATGGATTAGCAGTTTTTTTTCTTTTAAATTTTATGTTGGCATCAAAAGAAACATAACAATAAGGCATAGAGAAAGAGAGAATGAAAAGAAATAACTGACAGAAAGCATCGAGAGGAGCCTGAGAGACTTTGCGCTTAACCCTAACAATCACAGGCTTATCGGCCGTCGACTGGAACGTCCCCGAAGAGCTTTCGCCGTTACTTGCCATGAAGCTTGTTCGATTTGAGCCAATTTTGCTTGCGCTGGGGTTAAGGTTTAAGCTTCATTCAGTATTGAAGTTGGGGGTTTAAGACTTGTGCACATTTGGGTGAATAGAGCCTATATATGAAGGGGGAATTTTTTTTATAATGAGATATATAAAGCGTGCTAAAATGCGCCCCATTCTTATGTAGCTTACGCATACTCAGCTAACTAATTTTACCCCTTAAAAAAGTTAAAATACTAAAAAATCCCTGAATTTTTTTTATTCAAATAAATCTCAATATTTTATTATATTTAAATAAAATTTTATTCTTAAGTGTGTATAAAAAAATCTGTTTTAAATACAATATTAATTTATGTTAAATACTTATTTAAGTAAAAATTAAAAATTTATTTAAATACAAATTTAAAATTTAAAAGTTTTATTTGAATGTAAATTAATGTTAAGAGTTTATTTGGATTTAATAAAAATATAAAAATTATTTAAACAAAATGATAAAATTTAAGAATTTTTTTATTATTTAAAAGAAAACTAGGCTACGCTTCTTTTCAACTTTTAAGGCTGCTGAGTTTATGCAGTTAAGTCAGTGATATAGCAGAGGCAGAGGATGTTATTCTGCTGCTGCAATAACTTTGGTGGTGTGGTTATTTCCATTGTAGTTACACTTACACCAATGTTTCAATTTTGTAGAGACAAATCCTCTGCTGTAACAGTGTTATTCTTGTTCTTGTTTATTTATTTCTGAGGCCAATCTTCTTCAAACTATAAGAGGCTGCGACAAAGTTTTAGGCATTGTTATGTTACTAACTAGCTAGCACTTAGCAGAGATATGAAACGTTCAAGAAAACAATCCCCTGTTTCCTGGAGTCTTTAGTCCTTTCTTTCTCCCACTCAAGTGTCTGGTTTACCTGATAAGTCACTTTGAAGTGCATTCATGCGTAATAATTAATTTTCAACCAGAAAATCATTGTTTATGGACTTCAAAGGATAATTACTAACAAAGTTGACAAAGCACATGTTTCAATTTTAAAAGAAACCCATCATTCAAAGAATTTCATCAATATCAAACTCTATGAACATTTAAGGGTAAGAAAGCACTTGAGCCCCTCATTAAAAAAATCTTCACCAATATCAAACCCCCACCCCACCCCACCCCCCCAATAAAAAAAAAAACTCAAATTTTTGGTGCAACAGCCATTTCCTCGTGTCATTCTCCATCACCAACATTACCGATTCCATCTCTCTCACAATCCGATTGACCCTCTCTTTAAATATGCCATCAGTATCAGGCCTCGTTTGGCATTTGCCATGGCGCGAAATATTCTTCAATTATTTAGCCTAGTTAGAATCATTTAGCTTCAATGCATAAATGGAACTAGCTCCAATTTCCTTCTTACTCATCCCAACTCAAGCATCTCCTCTCCATCACACAACTTGAGCTCAACAATCTTGCCTTTACCTCTGATGCGGGTAAGCTATTTGGGTGGCATTCAGGCATTGCAGCCAAGTAATTGCCTTGTTGCCCATATGGCTGGCCCTTATCCTTGGTTCAGCTTTCGGGTTGATCGGTTATGGAGTGCAATATCTCTTCCTCATGGGCCTTTTCTCCATCTTGTCATATGGTCTCATTTTCTTCCTCACTATTCTGGCAGGAAATAGCATTTGCTGGATCAACACCGTTTGCTACCTAGTTACTATTGGAAACTTCCCCCTAGACCATCAGCTTCCGACAGGATTGACGGATAGCTCAGCATTTAATCCCAGCCTCCCAGGTAGCTACCTGTTAATCCTGTCGCTAGTTGACGGTCCAGGGGGAAGTTTCTAATAGTAACTAGGTAACAAACGATGTTGATCCAGAAAATGCTATTTCCTGCGAGAATATTGAGGAAAATGAGACCGTATGAGTTGGAGATTCGGCCTTAGTACAAAATAAAGCAAGCATTCTTCTCTGATCTTATCCACTATGTATCCATTGAACGCAATAGCTGGCTTACAGCTTTTTTAATTCTAGATGTAGATTCTTCTAAGCTAGTTGTTGTTGGCAGTGTACTTTCGGAGCAATTTGTCTTAGTTGAATGTATTTTTCCTAGCAGGGTTTCTCTGCTTATTGGACAAGTAAAATCGCATTTATCAAAAAACAAAAAAAAAAGGATTTAGATCGTGGCCCAAAAAACTAGTCACAGATAGGGTGTGTCAATACGGTTATTACCTTAGCCGACATAAGACAGCACTTGTTGAACTTTTTTTGTGATTCTCCACTTTTTACCAGCATTTAGCCTTCACAATGCCTAAATTCCTATATTTTATTAAAGAAAGAGGCAGTTTAAGAGCAAAGAGAAAAAATTCTAGATTGTATTTGTTCTTTTGTTTAAGAAAAGCGTTGTTTTATATTCCAAATATGTCTCTTTTATGAACAATGACACAAGTTATTCCGAGCGACCAACTAACTTTCTGCTTCAGCGGTGCAGAGAAACAGGATATTAATGACTAATAATTACAAGGGGTTGGAAGTTGCAATAGAGATAGGTCAACGTTTGTTGCAAAACCATGCTTTCTTGTCAGAGAAATTGACGGTGAATGGTTTAATTGGCTTGTGCATTGGGGCACTAATCGAAGAAGGTGCACAAGTAATGTTATCAACCAAATCAAAGAGTTGGTTTTGTGTTGTAAGACATGAAGTAATGATTGTTGTTCTCATGAACTGTGAAGAAACAGTTCATATATATTTTGCTTGACCCGATATTGAAGGCAATTCAGTCAATGTCGGTCAACTACTAAACCTACCTAGTGACAAACACAAATCAAACATGGGTAGAAGAGCCTGATCCTGAGTTTAATACCCTTGACCTTTCTCATTTATAAGGGTAATTGGTCACTCAAAAACATTAAAGTTAACACATGCACACCTTACTGACATAAAATAGTAGGTGACTATTCTGGAGTTTTTATTCAAGCCGTCAAGGGAAGGCAAAGGATGGTTCGTACAGGTATTCTCTGTTTAGACTTTACACAATGAACATGCATAGATGGTACACTCTGCAGGTCCAGAATTTAAATCATTCACCAGCCCATTAATGGACATTGAAAAATAAATTCGTATGGTGTTTAGGATTTTGACGGTGACAGGTGACTTAAGTAACTTGAAGATGTTAATAGTTTAGGATGCGGTGGATTTTATATTAGATAAAAAAATTTAATTATTAATAAATAAAATTAATTTTTATATTAATTTTATTTATATTTTAAATAATTATATTTGAATAAAAATAATTATCATATGATAAATTATCATAATTATTTGAATATAAATAAATTATTATTCATAAAGATCATAATTATATAGAAGATCATAATTATTTTAATAGAAGTTTATGTTTATTCATTCAATATAAATAAATCTTTCAATATAATCATTTTCGCTGCTTCTGATTGGAGAGTTTGAGGTTTTGTTGTATCTTAAAGACATAATTGCCTTTAAAAAAATGTTTTTTATTTTTCAAAGTCAATTTTTTTCTATTATTTCTCTTCTCTTATTTATTTTTTCTAACAATTTAAATGCAATTATAAGAAATTTATACTTCGTGTCATAACATCTAAATCTGAAAATTTATCGCTAGACATTAACTTTAGAAATCGCTACCAATCTTTTTTATTTAGGTGCAATTGGTCACCTAAAGAATCTATAGTGCGGCTCGGTTGAAAATGGCTCGGCTCGGTTGGGGTCCAAGCAAAGACGTGAGTCGCTGATCGGGTTGACGCTCGGGTCGGGTAGCCCAATTTCAAAACGCATGGATCCTCTAGGAATAGTAAGGTTAAAACGACGTCATTTTCGGTAGGTATAAAAGGCTCCAACATTTATTCTTTTACAAATTGCTTCATTCTCCCTCCTTCTCTTCTTCCTTTTTCTCCTCTTTTTCTCTAAATAGAATCCAGATTTCGGTTGAATATCTGTCAAAATTTGGAAAAATAGGTCGAAAACTTCAAAGTTGGTCAGAAATCTCGTCGAAAAACTTGAATCTTGTTGAAAAATTTCGTCAGATTCTGAAAAATTTTCAGAAAAAAAACTTCAAAAATTCTAAAAAATTTCCCATAAATTCCTAACATTGTTTCTAACGCACCAAAACCTTTTTTAGCCTCTGTTTCCTCTTTGTGTATTTTTTCCTTTTTCTATGTGCTTTCTATGGACCTATTTATAAGGATTGATCAGAAGAGTTTCTGATCAATCTCAACTCCTTCTAAGATTTGGATTCAATCTTTGAATCCAATCCCAATTTTGCCAGCCTCCAATTTCACGGTCAAATCTAATTTTTTTTATCCTAATCATAGCCGAAAATCAATCAAGATAAAATAAAAAAAATACATATTAATAATAAATAGATAAATAATAAATATATATTAATAAATAATAATAAAATAAAATAAAAATATAAAATGGGCTTACCCATTTGGACCAGGCCCAATTGTTCCAGGCCTGGACCAAATTAGATGTCTACACTTCGCATGAGAAAGATATAAGGAAAAGAAATTGGCATGATTTGGAGATTAATATTAGAGAAGATTCAAGGTATCAAAAGATTAATGTTTCCATGGACCAAAATGTTAATTTTCATAAAAATCTTCATTAGAGGTATATATTTTATTTTTTTGCATAAATTGCTGGTAAAAAAATTAACTGAATGAGATAACATGTTAACAATCTATTTCATTAATATGTAAAGTCAAAACACAATATGCAAAATATTGATTACATTGCATTAGTTTTGCATATATTGAAATTGATTTCACAATTAGGTTTAATGAATTGTATTATATTTATTTGAAAAATTGATGCTCGTAAAGACTAGGATGGGAAATAGCCTGAAAACATAAAAGAGAAAGAAATGAATTGATTTACGACCAAAAGAATTATCACTTGTTATCAAATAACGAATTAAATTAGATTATAATGAAATGATCGATTATTTAATTGTCATGTCTTGGTTATATATAAAACAGAAAAATTATCCCATGGTTTTTATGAAAGCAATCAGAAATAGGTAAAAGAGTTTACTATAAAAAATTAGATACAAGTAGAGAATATATGCAAAAAAATAAGATTTAGCTACAAGATTAGTTTTATTATTAAATCATGACACCAAAGTTGA